ATATAATGCCTAGGAAAAATGTATACAGATTCTTAAAAAAAAAAAAAATGCCCCACTGCCTGGAGTCAGGTCTCCTGCTCATGCAGACCCTGGGAGGCAACCGGGGTGGCTCAGGTTATTGGGCTTCTACCACCCACTGGGAGAATTGAGTTCCACCTCTGTTCTTGCTGGCATCTGGGGACTCAAATCAGTAGGTAAGAGCACTCTGTAGGGGCCGGCGTTCTGCCGTAGCTGGTAAAGCCACCGCCTGCAGTGCCAGCATCTCATATGGGCACCGGTTCGAGACCCAGCTGTTCCACTTCCAATCCAGCTCTCTGCTATGGCCTGGGAAAGCAGTGGAAGATGGCCCGGAAGAAGCTTCTGGCTCCTGGCTTTGGATTGGTGAAGCTCCAGCCATTGTGTGAGTGAACCAGTGGATGGAAGACCTCTCTCTCTCTCTGCTTCTTCTACTCTCTCTCCGACTTTCAAATAAATAAATATTTTTTTAAAAATTAACTTTGAGTTTAATTGACCTTATTTATTTTTTAATTTTTTTGACAGGCAGAGTGGACAGTGAGAGAGAGACAGAGAGAAAGGTCTTCCTTTACCATTGGTTCACCCTGCAATGGCCACCGCGGCCGGCGCGCTGCAGCCGGCGCACCATGCTGATCCTATGGCAGGAGCCAGGTACTTATCCTGGTCTCCCATGGGGTGCAGGGCCCAAGCACTTGGGCCATCCTCCACTGCACTCCCTGGCCATAGCAGAGAGCTGGCCTGGAAGAGGGGCAACCGGGACAGAATCCGGCGCCCCGACCGGGACTAGAACCCAGTGTGCCGGCGCCGCAAGGCAGAGGATTAGCCTAGTGAGCTGCGGCGCCGGCCTAAATAAATATTTTTTTACAAATTACAATTACTTCCATTCCCCTTTGCTGTAGTTTAATTTTATCATAGCATTGAACTCCAGTAACAGGCCACTTGTATTTGTTGTATTAATTTCTCATTTGCCCCCTCCTTTCCTACCATGTAAGACAAAAGCATGAATATTTGCTTTACTGATTTATCCCAAGCCCTGAACACAAATCCCCATCACATCACAGGCACTGAGTAAACATTTGATATATACATGAAGGAAATTTAGGGCTTCCCTTTGGAAACTTAAAAAAAAAAAAAAAAAAACACTGGAAAGGCAGAGAGAGAGATCTCCCATCCACTGGTTCACTCCCCAGTAGCTGGGGCAGTGCCAGGCTAAAGCCAGGAAACCAGAACTCCATCCCAGTCTCCCGCATGGGTGGCAGGAACCCAAGCGCTTGAACCATCAACTGCTGCCCCCCAGTGGTGTGGGATAAATAGGCAGGTGGTTTCCGTCTGCTGAGCTGGAAGTCAAAAGCTCCCGGTATGACAGTCCCTCCTCCTTACTTGTCAATCAAAATGTTCCCTTCCCCCGGATGGACTTGTTTCATCCAGGACCTAAGTGAGGGGTGGAGGGAGAGGTTGCCATGATCTTCCATCTGCTGGCTTACTTCCCAAATGCCCTCAACAACCAGGGCTAGACCTGGCCAAAGCCAAGAATGCCTTCCTGGTCTCCCGCATGGGTGGCAGGAACCCAAGCACTTGGACTATCAACTGCTGCCTCTCAGGCACGTCAGCAGGAAGCTGGATCAGAAGTATGTGGTAGCTGGGACTTCAAAACAGTGCTCTGATAAATACGGGTGACCCAAGTGGTGGCTTCATCCGCTGTGCCACAACACATATCCGTGACTGCCCTATATTACCTTTCTTTTTTATTTTTTTAAAGATTTATTTATTTGAAAGAGTTACACAGAGAGAGAAGAAGGAGAGAGAGAGAGAGAGAGAAAGTTTTCCGCCTGCTGGTTCACCTCCCAATTGGCTGCAACAGCCATAGCTGCGCCGATCTGAAGCCAGGAGCCGGGAGCTTCTTCTGGGTCTCCCATGCAGGTGCAGGGGCCCAAGGAGTTGGGCCATCTTCTACTGCTTTCCCAGGCCACAGCAGAAAGCTGGATCGGAAGTGGAGCAGCCAGGACTCAGATCAGTGCCCATATGGGATGCTGGCACTGCAGGCAGCGGCTTTACCTGCTGTGACACAGTGCCAGCCCCTAATTATCTTTCATGACACAACAAACTACCCCCAGAATGGCGCATCTTAAAACTGCACAGACTGATCGTCCGCGTGGTGTGGATGATAGACCGATGCTGACTGCCCCTCCAGTCAGCCAGTGTGTTAGAGGCACGGTCCCCGGGCTGGTGCTGCTAGGGGTGTTGGAACAGGCAGGAGGCAGGGCCTAGCCTAGGTCCCTGGCACGTGTACTGGATGATGGTTCCCACGGGCGGGCTGCCCCACAGCCTGAGCTAGGGATTAGCCTCTTTGTCTGCTTCCTGGCTCACCGTGTGGTTCTTCCTCTGCCCTAGCCCCGCCGTTGCCACACACTGCTCTCATCAGAGGCCGAGCCGATGGGGCCACCGAGGATTGGACTTGCATCTACAACACTGTGAGCCGAGCAAACCTTTCCTCTTTGCCGAGTCAGCTGCCTCCCGTATTTCATTATAGTAACAAGAAGCTGACTCGTGTGTTCTTTTTCTTTCTTTTTAATTTATTTTAAAGGCAGAGTTAGAGAGAGACAGACAGAGAGAGAGAGGTCTTCCATCTGCTGGTTCACTCTCCAGTTGGCTGCAACGGCCGGAGCTGTGCCGATCCGAAGCCAGGAGCCAGGAGCTTCCTCCGGGTCTCCTACATGGGTGCAGGGCACCAAGGGCCTGGGCCATTCTCTTCTGCTTTCTCAGGCCACAGTAGAGAGCAGGATCAGAAATGGAGCATCCGGGACTCGAACCGGTGGCAGCTTTCCCCGCTAAGCCACAGCGCTGGCCCCCATGTGTTCTTTCTCATGGTTTCCTTAGGTCGGGATCTGGGAGCACCTCGGCTCCGTGAGTCTCGCTCCGTGTCTCTCAAGATGTGCAGTCAGGATGTTGGCCGATTCTACGGTTGTCTGAAGGCTGCAAGCTGACCGTGTCATATGCCTGACTTAGCGGGAGACCCCTAGTGGTCAGAATGGGAAGCGACTGCACAAGCCTATGGACACCAGGAGGTGGAAGCCACTGAGGATCGTTCTGCGAGCTGGTTAACCAAGCTCCAAGTCTGCTGTGCTGTGAGGAACCCCAAGCTAGCCCATGCAGAGAAGAGACATGGATAGCCCCTGATGAGACACGGCAATGCCAGGTTAGCCCACGACTGCCTCAGTGTCTCACGGTTCTAGCTTTAGCCACCATCTGAGCCAGAACTGCCCAACTCAAGTCCCCTCCCCAAACTCTTTTATTTTTATTTTTAAATTATTTGTAAGAGTTTACAGAGAGAGAGAGAGAGAGGAATCTTCCATCTGCTGGTTCACTCCCTAAATGGCCACAACAGAGCTGGGCCAGGTTGAAGCCAGGATCCAGGAGCTGCTTTGAGGTGTCCCACGTGGGTGCGTGGGCCAAAGCACCTGGGCCATCTCCCATTGCTTTCCCAGGCACATCTGCAGGGAGCTGGATCAGAGAGAAGCTGCCGAGGCACAAACCGGCACCCATATGGGATGCTGGCATTACAGGCTGTGACTTAACCCACTGCACCACCGTGCCAGGCCCCCTTCCCAAATTCCTAACCCATAAAACTGTGTGAGAAAATAAAAGGATTGCTATTTGTTGTTGGAAGCCATTCCCTATCATTTGTGTTGATTTATTTGAAAGGCAGAACAATAAGAAAGACAGAAGTATCTTCTACCTGCTGGCTTACTTCCCAAATGCCCGTGATAACCAGGGCTGGGCAGAGCCAGAGCTAGGAGCCAGGAACCCCACCCAGGTCTCCCATATGGGTGGTGGGGACCCAGTACTTAAGCCATCATTTGCTGCCTCCCAGTGCTCAGGAAACTGGAACAGGACTCAATCCCAAGAACTTGGGTATGAGAAGCCTCCCAAACCAGCGGCTTAAACAGCTGCACCACAGCACCTGCCCCAGACTCCCTATTTTAACATCACATTAGCAACCTTAATTTCACCTGCAACCTTAATTCCCTTTTGCCGTATAACCTAACATCCCCATGGTCCAGGCATTAGGACACGGGCATGTTTGGAGACCATTCCTCTGCCTTTCACGTGCTCTGGGGAAAAAAAGGCACAGAGTTCCCAGGACGGGGTGCTCGACAGTGACAAATACTGTCAGAGGCCAAGCAAGATAAGACCTGAAAAATAACCACTGAATTTAGTGGCCCAGGGACACCAGCCACTAGTTATCAGAGGAGTACTGGGGGCGGGAGCTAGTTTGTGGTGTGCGCAACAAGGAAGTAGAGAGCAGGTGTGGAAATTCTTCCCCGAAACGTGACTGTGATGGGGAGAATGAGGGAGCTGGTGTGGTGATGGGGACGAGAAAGGAGTTTCCACGCAGATGGGAAGTCGAAGGGTGGCAGGCTTGACGGTACAGCAGAGACAGGGCGTCTGGGAAGAAGAGAGTAGGGGCCGTTAGGTTGATCCAGGCTCACGTTAGGATACTGTTAAAGGTTGAGGAGTGTGGCTCTGGGAATTTAAGGGGCGGGAGAGAGACCGACCGGCAGAGAGCGCTGGTGAGGCAGGAGGGAGCAGCCGAACAGCCTGCGCGGACAGGACTCAGCCTGAACGGTCTGAAATGATTTCAGCTTGGTTCCCCAATAAGATCGTAGGGTTCGCTGATCCCCTGGTCTGCTGGTCTCTCCAGCTAGTCTTCTGGAAGTTCCCGTGCTTAGAACAGGGTTTGCAGTTAAGCGTTAAACCCTCTGGAGACTACATTTCCCTTGATGCCTTGCGGCTGCCCGACTACAACTTCCATCATGCCGGGCAGCCGCTTTCTCCACTTTGTCAACATGCCTTAACCCAGGTCCACCGATCCCAGCATTCCTCGCTATTTTCCTAACTCAGAGGTTCGCTCACTGAGGTCTAGGAACAACCAATTGGATCAGAGGGTACCAGAGAGGCAGGCCAATCACCGGGGCGGAGGGGCGGGAGGGGGCGTGGCCATAACCTGCCCCGTGGCTGGTCCTGGCCCCCGGGCGCCTCCCGCGGGACTCGAAGATATGGGCGCCACCTGGGGAAACCCCGGGTGGGTGCGGCTCGCTCTCTGCCTGGCCGGCTTGGCGCTGTCCGTCTACGCGCTGCACGTGAAGGCGGCGCGCGCCCGGGACCGGGACTACCGCGCGCTCTGCGACGTGGGCACCGCCATCAGCTGTTCGCGCGTCTTCTCCTCCAGGTGCGCGCGGGAGTGAAGAAGCTCGGGGTCCCGGGCGCCGGTGTGTGCCTGGCAGCCAGGTTACCTGAGGAGTCTGGGACCGCAGTGCCTGGGAAGCGGATGCCTGGGGACTGGACAGCTTGGTGGCAACGTCGCGTGGAGAATTGGGGTGCAGGGGGTGCGGGCGCGGCGGGGCAGTCACGAGGGGTCAGGATGCCGAGGCATAAGGGCGATCTGGAAAGAGGAGGATGTACGCACAGGGGCTAGTAATGGCCTTGAGCGTGGCGCTGGGGCGCTCTCTGGCGATGACAATGCCTGGCCGTGTAGCAGTCAGTGGGAGGGGAGGGGGTCTCTTAGGGACCTGGAGATTTAGGGGTTGCAGGGCGAAGACAATCTGCCCAGTTACTCTTACACCAGCTTTGCCATCTTGGCTGGAAAGAGGGGCCTAGGGAAGAGCCACGGCCAGGCCCGGCTGGGGGGTGGGGGAGGAAAGGGGCAGCGGCATGCAGACCGGACGTGGCCAAAGGTGCGGGAGGTCTAGAGGTCATCGATCCTTGGGAATGGGGGAGGAGGACAGCCCCAGGTGGCTTCTTAGAAACTCCCCATTCCGGGGCAGCGCACTCTGTGGACGCGGCTAACCCGAGTCTCCACCCCCATCAGATGGGGTCGGGGCTTCGGGCTGGTGGAGCATGTGTTGGGACAGGACAGCATCCTCAATCAATCCAACAGCATATTCGGCTGCATTTTCTACATACTGCAACTGGTGTTAGGTGAGTGGCCCCGCCCCTTCCCTGTAGGCTCCGCCCCCTCAAGACCCTGCCTTTTCTGGCCAGCAACCAGCCCATGCAGGCTCCAGATGGCAGCCAGCCAGCTGCTCCTGGCTGAGCATTCTCTGGCCAAGTGGGGAGCAGGAGTTATTTTTCAGTTTAAGAACTGTCGGAAGTTGAGGGGCCCTTAAAGACTTCCCAGGATCCCGGTGTTGTGGAAAAGGCTTTGGAAATTCCTTTTGGGGGAATTGAAGGATGCTGGAGTTAGCAGGAGGTTCACTGGTTGGGTCTGGGATCGCTGGACAGACAGGGGAACAGAGGCCGAGGAGGGGGCCTGTTAAAGCCTCTTGATGTACAGACCCTTCTCCCAGCAGCCCCTGCTGTCAGGGTGGAGGGGGACATGAAGATGAGGCGGCGTCCTGGAGATGGCCAGTCCCCACAGCCCATCCCTGACCCTTTTCTACCTTGCAGGCTGCCTGCGGGCACGCTGGGCCTCCATCCTGCTGATGCTGAGTTCCCTGGTATCGATCGCTGGTTCTGTTTACCTGGCCTGGATCCTGTTTTTCGTGCTCTATGATTTCTGCATCGTTTGCATCACCACGTACGCCATCAACGTGGGCCTGATGTGGCTTAGCTTCCGGGAGGTCCCGGAACCCAAGGTCAAGGCCAAGGGGCACTGAGCCCTCACCCAAACCAGGCTGGCCTCGTCTGCTTTGCTTGGCACGTGAGCCTGCCCCGGGGGGCCTTGTCTAGGTCCCTGGGAGGCACTGCCTCCCTCGCCCACCCCCACAGACCCCACCACCACCACACACACAGGATAATGGACCAAATGTGCCCCCAACTGTGTCTTCAAGGGCTGGTTTCCTGCCATGGCCCAGGGAGGGAACGTTTTCAGCAATAAAATTTCTTAACTACATTGGCCAAGTCTGAACCGTGTGTCTGCCAGGGACCCTGATGTTGGGGCTCCGCCAGGGGTGCCTTCGCTGGACCCAGGAGGGATGTGAGTCATGGAGAGTGGGAGCCTGCCTGCGGAGGGCGGCTATGGTTAGCCTCTTCTCCAGAGCGTAGTCAGCAAGGCCTGGCGCGCCAACAGCCCCCACCTCCGGGAAACAGGCTGGTGACTTGTCCCTGTTGCCCGTGGGTGCCAGGCCCTCTCTCCTGGGAGGGCCAAGCACGTATCTGTGAGGGCAAGCTGCCCTTCTGGTTCCTTGCCTGCTTGATGGGAAGTTCTTCCCGTAATCTAACCTCAGCCCCTCAGGCTGCTTTATCTACTATCCCAAGGCAGTCTTGGCAGCCTGGAGGGTCAGGATCAGATGGAGAGTAGTTTTATTTTGTGTTTCCTAATAATCTCAGCAACTCCAAGCACTGTCTAAGGACTTGGGTGAAGCTATATTGACTCATTTAATCCTTTTAGCAACTGTATGAGGTAGGTGCTGTTATCCCTATCTTGATAAAGAAACTGAAGTCCAGAGACGCTGACTTGCCTAAAATCACACATGCACAGCCAGAAAGGAGTAGTGAGAGAGAGAGAGAGAGAGAGAGAGAGAGAGAGAGAATGAATTTCCCATCTCCTGGTTCACTCTTGAAATGGCCCCATCAGCCAGGTGGAAGCCAAGAACCAGGAATTCCATTCAGGTCTCCCACATGGGTGGCTGGGGCCCCAGCACTTGGGCCATCCGCTGCAGCTTTGCCAGGTGCATTAGCAGGGAGCTGGACTAGAAGCCAAGCAGCCAGATTCAAACCAGGGTTCTGATATGGGATGCAGGCGTCCTGGGGCCGGCGGTGTGGCATAGCAGGTAAAGTCTCTGCCTCCAGTGCCGGCATCCCATATGGGCACCTGTTCGAGTCCTGGCTGCTCCACTTCCAATCCAGCTCTCTGCTGTGGCCTGGGAAAGCAGTGGAGGATGGCCCAAGCCCTTGGGCCCCTGCACCCACGTGGGAGACCAGGAAGAAGCTCCTGGCTCCTGGCTTCAGATCAGCACAGCTCCAGCCGTTGCAGCCATCTGGGGAGTGAACCAGCGGATGGAAGACCTCTTCCCCTCTCTCTGCCTCTCCTCTCTCTGTAACTCTGCCTTTCAAATAAATACTTTTTTAACAAATATGCAGGTTTCCTAAGTGGCAGTTTAATCCACTGCACCACAACCCCCCCCCCCCCAACTCCAAAGTCTTAAGCTCAAAACCCTACCCACAGCAGCCTCTGTGCTGGGGTTACATTTCCCGAACAACTTGGGATGGCCCAAGGTAGGAGTCAGGATCAGAAAATGGATGCACCTTGAATGATACTGCCTCCTGACTTGAGAGCCTTCCAGCATCTGTCAGAAAGATGGGCACTGCGGTAGCCCTGTTTGCTAGGAAGGCAGCAGGCCCCTAGGGGGGTTGGCTTTTGTCAAAGGTTCATGGCCAGCCAGCCAGCAGAGAGGCCCAGTCCCTCCAAAACCTAGCCCTGCACACAGTCTCTGGGAGGAAGCGTGTGTAGCATGCTTGGCCCTGGCCTGGGGTAAAGCAGAAAAGCTACATCACATAGTGGGAACTGGGCAGGCCTGCCCACAATGCCCATCGGGGTCCAGGTTGAGGCTTCACGTCCTACAGACGAGGCCCTCGCCCAAGCGTTTCTGTATTCAGAAAGGCTGGAGTTTTTCAGACAAGGCACAGACAGGTTTAACTGTTGAAGGTCACTCATGTTCTAAGTCAGGGAGCTGGGATTTGAAACCCTAGGCGGTCTGGCCCCCTGGCTGAGGCCCAGAGAAGGGCCAACAGCAGCCGCAGGGCCGCGCAGCCCCAGCCCCAGAGCTAGGAGCTGCTGGCTCCCTTCCAGCCCCTGGAGGGGGGGAAGCAATGACATCTGACACCCAGCCAACTGGGGGCGGAGCAGGGGTGGAGCCAGGGTTCCCAGGTAGCCTGGGAACCACAGCCCAGGCGGCAGAGCGGCCGAGCAGCATGAAGCAGAGTTGGGGACCAGGGCTGCTCATCCTGGGAGCAGTGGTCCTCATCCAGGGTAAGCCACCTGTGCTCGGCGGAGGAGGGGGTTCTTGGTGTGTGTGGGAGCTGGGCAGTGGGGTGACAGTTTGCTGCTTGCAATGTCACCGTGTCTTTCCTGTGGGGGTGACACTGTGGCAGCATGGATGCGATGCCCAGGTTAAGGCCGTGTCTGCAGGGACTGTTGCTGTGACTGTGTGTGCAGCCACCCCCCTTCCCTGCGCCCCTGGCTGCCTCTCTGACTTCCAGAATGGTCTCAGGCACATTCTGGATGTCTCTGGCCTCAGTGTCTCTCTGTCCATTCCATCTCTCTGCTCTCCTGGCCTAGATGTCCAGTGTGCTTTATCTATGTGTGTGTGAGGAGGAGAAGCAGGGCCAGGATCCCCAGTATCATCTCTGGGGGCTCCTGGGAAGGTGGGGGGGCTCTGAGTCCTCAGATCAGAGCTGGGGTGAGCGCCCTCCCCTGCTTAGACATGACGCGGGCCTCTAATCCTTCCTCTTAGTCCTCTGAGGCCAGGGGACAATTACGCTAATACTCGGTCCACATCCCTGGGCCCCTCCCTCAGTGGCGGGGGCAGGAGTTGGGGGTTCTGAAGCCTGGAGGAGGCTTGGCCTGGTCCCAAGCCGAGCACCGGGGCGTGCTCCTCTCGGGCCCAGGAGTGCTGAGCACAGCTGAGGAAGTAATTACGGAGCGTACGCGCTGAATGGGTTCCAATAAAAGCTGCTTCTCACCCTCATATAAATATTTTCATTCTGGGAGAGGCTGGTGAGGTAGCCGTAGAGTCATCGGCAAAGACTCAGGGCCTGCACGCCGACCCACTCGCCCCACCAAGCCTGGACCCCCGAGTCTCACCCATGTCCATCTCTCTTGCAGGTCTTCAGGCAGCACGGCGGGGTGAGCTCTGGGGACACGGGGCCTGGATCTGGCCGGGGGTGAGGCAGGGCAGGTCAGGAAGTTCCAGTCACTTGTGACCCACCTCTCTCCGCAGCCTGTGGCCAGCGTGGCCCCGGGCCCCCCGAGCCTCGGGAGGGCGACACAGAAGCCGGCGAGTGGCCCTGGCAGGCCAGCGTGAGGCGGCAGGGAGCCCACGTCTGCAGCGGCTCCCTGGTGGCGGACACCTGGGTCCTCACCGCTGCCCACTGCTTTGAAAAGTGAGTCATGGCTCGGGTCGGCCGGGGGCTCTGGCTTTGAGGGTGGATGATTCATCTCGAGGCCCCGCAAGACTGGTCCCTACCCCTTGGAATATTAACAAAGCACCATTTGTTGGGCATGTGCCAGGTGCCAAGGACATGTTATCAGGTTCATCTTAACGGCCTCTCGCCGTGTCCCGTTTTAAAAAGGCTGAGAGAAGGGAAGGATCTTGCTAAAGCCACACAAACTCGTATTTGCCCATCTCCCGCCCACCCTTGCTGTCTCCTGGGGGGCGGGGTCACCAGCTCCTCTTGCCCTCAACAAAAAGGGCCTTGCACCTTTTTATTATTTTTTTTTTCCAGGGCAGCAGCGACAGAACTGGACTCCTGGTCAGTGGTCCTGGGTTCTCTGCATCGTGAGGGGCTGAGCCCAGGGGCTGAGGAGGTGGGGGTGGCTGCCCTGCGGTTGCCCGGAGACTATAACCACTACAGCCAGGGCTCCGACTTGGCCTTGCTCCAGCTTGCCCACCCCGTGGCCCACACACCCCTCTGCCTGCCCCAGCCCATCCATCATTTCCCCTTTGGAGGGTCTTGCTGGGCTACTGGCTGGGACCAGGACACCCGTGACAGTAAGTGCTAGCCCCCAGGGGCACTCTGCTCATCCCAGGTCCTACGGCCTCAGCTCCCAACAGCCCTACCTCCTAATCTCCCTTCCTTCTCAACCCCAGACCCCAGCCCCAGCCCTGTCTCTCTTGCCAGCTCCCAGGATCCTTCGGAATCTGCGCCTGCGCCTCATCAGCCGCCCTACCTGTAACTGTCTGTACAACCGGCTGCACCAGCGGCTGCTGGCCAGCCCGGCCCGGCCTGGGATGCTGTGTGCGGGTGCCCAGCCCGGGGTGCAGGGGCCCTGTCAGGTCTGAGCGGGGAGTGAGCAAAGGGGCTACCCTTAGGCTGGGAGACTGACCCACAGGGAAGGGTGGACGGGGTTGCCGTCCGATGGTGTCTGTTCTTAAACCTGTTGCCTGGCTCCAGGGAGACTCTGGGGGGCCCGTGCTGTGCCGTGAGCCTGATGGACACTGGGTTCAGGCTGGGATCATCAGCTTTGCATCAAGATGTGCCCAGGAGGACACTCCCGTGCTGCTCACCGACTTGGCGGCTCACAGCCCCTGGCTACGGGCTCAAGCCCAGGGGGCGGTCTTCCTGGCCCAGAGCCCAGGAACCCTGGAAGCCAGTGATGAGGACAGCTGTGTAGGTATGAGCAGGGGTGCAGGGAGCGGGTCACGTGGGGACACTTAGGCCTGTGTGAGGACTTCCAGGCAGCCAGTGGAAGCCACCATGAATCCAAGGCAGCTTAGAACAGAGAACTGATAGAGTGTCCAGCCCTGCCCAAGGCACCTAGGGGCTCTCCATGGGAACAGCTCCCTGGGGGGAGGCAGAGCCAACCCTGCAACTTTCTGGGTTTGGCGCTTAGGCAGGAAGAGGGAGCGCTGAGGGCTGGCTGCAGGTTTCGGGGAGTGGGGGGAGGCAACCAGCTTCCAGGTAGGGACCCAACAAGATTGGACAGGGCAGGGCTCCCACTCATAATTCTGGCATTAAGTGGCTGACATTCAAATTGCATGCAAAAGAATTCCTGGGAAGGAAGTTGTGTCTTGATGCTAAGAGCAGCGCCAGTGAGGCGGGACTTCTGGAGCCAGTCCACGCCTGGAGGGGTGCAGATGGGCGGGAGTGTGCAGAGCAGGGGAGGCAGGGCCTGAGTCCCGTCAGACTGTCAGGGTTAGAGTCTGCTGCCTGCCCACAGTGCCAGTAACTTCTCTGGAACTCTGGCTACCTTCTGTTAAGGTAACAAAATTCACCTGAAAGGGATTGTGCGGCTTGGTCAGCCCGTGGAGATGCTTAGCAGAGGGCCCGGCACCCCTGCTGAAGAAGTCACATGATCTAATCCATCTGTTTCAGCCTGTGGATCCTTGAGGGGCGACGGGCCCCAGGTGGGAGCCCCCTCCCCATGGCCCTGGGATGCCAGGCTGAAGCACCAGGGCAAGCTGGCTTGTGGCGGAGCCCTGGTGTCAGAGGAGGTGGTGCTGACGGCTGCCCACTGCTTCATCGGGTGAGCTCCGCTGTCCGTCCCACTCCTCTGCCCCCGGCCCTGCTGGCAACCCTTACCCAGCGCTGTCAATGCCGCCTCCACACAGGCGCCAGACCCCAGAGGAATGGAGTATAGGGCTGGGGGCCAGCCCGGAGGAGCGGGGCCTGAAGCAGATCATCCTGCATGGGGCTTATACCCACCCGGAGGGGGGCTACGACGTGGCCTTCCTGTTGCTAGCCCAGCCAGTGACGCTGGGCCCCCACCTGCGGCCCCTCTGCCTGCACTACGCTGACCACCAGCTGCCTGACGGGAAACGTGGCTGGGTCCTGGGGCTGCCCCATCAAGGAGCAGGTGAGACAGGACCAGGGCCACCGGCTCTGCCCACCCAGCCTCAAAGCCCCAGTGGCAGCTGAAGCTTTCCTCTTGCCCTGTAGGCACCAGCCCTGCCCAGACAGTGCCCGTGACCCTCCTGGGGCCTAGGGCCTGCAGCCAACTGCAAGCGGCCCCTGAGAACAATGGCGTCCCCGTTCGGCCGGGGATGGTGTGTGCGAGTGTGGCGGGTGAACCGCCCCACTGTGAGGTGAGTCCCAGGCCCCCAACCTGACCCACCAGACCCTTCACAGCCCCTCAACGAACAGCCCTCTGTCAGGCGTGGTGCCCGGCCCTGCCTCTCACCTGGAACTGAGGCTTTCTGCCAACCAGCCCTTTTGCTCCGAGCCCGCTGCTCTCACAGCTGCCCAGCGGAGAGAGGAAGTTACCCAGCGAGTGTCACCTGACCCTTGGCAGGTCCTGTCCGGGGCACCGCTGGTGCATGAGGTGAGGGGCGCGTGGTTCCTGGCTGGACTGCACAGCTTTGGAGACGCCTGCCACGGCCCTGCACGGCCCGCCGTCTTCACGGCGCTCCCCACCTACGAGGACTGGGTCAACAGTTTGGAGTGGCAGGTGTACTTCGCCGAGGAGCCTGAGCCCGAGCCCGAGGGAGCACCTGGCAGCTGCCTGGCCAACTCAAGTATGTGTTTCGGGCCCCCCACCCCCCAGCCCTCCCTCTCTGGAGCCCTTGACTCGAGACCCAGCCAGGCAAGCACTGTTCTGCTCCACCTCCAGCTGCCTTGGGTCGGGTGGGACGCTGGACTCGCAGGGACTCAGGCTGGTTCCAGGTGCCTGTGTGACTTCAGCAGGCCTCTCGACCTCTCTGAGCCTCAGTGCTCTCATCTGTTGCGGGGCCAATGTGGATCCTATTCCTGAGCAAGGAGCAACCCCGCCCCTCCTTCCTCTCTCGGACAGGCCAGCCAGCCAGCTGCTGACAGGGGACTGGACTGCTCGCCGGAGGCGTCGACAGTGAGGCAACGCCCATGCCCCTCGCCACCCTGGCCACGTGCAGCTCTGGGCCCTGGGGCAGGCCCTCCAGCAGGTGCCTCGGCCCCCCCGCACCCCTGTGGACAGGGATGCTGCCTGCTGATGCTCCCACACCCAGCTCCCCAGCTCTGCTCCGTGCCGCGGGTGTCCCCCAGTGTCCCCCACCCTTCACCCCTCAGACACAACCACAGCGGCTGCATGTTTTGAAAATCTGTGGTTTTTTTTTCCTTGGTGGGGGTGGGGAGCAATTGTCCTTTTTTTAAACTTAAATAAATTGTTACAAAATAGATTTTAGAAAATAAGTTACAAACTGTAGCAAAAGGCTCCCCTTCATCCACAGGCGACACTCCCACCCCTGGCCCCTGCCGGATTCTGCCTCTCCAAGGTGGTGCTGGAGTCTGGCTGGCAAGGCTGGCCCAGCAGGAGGGCTCCCTCAGGGGCAGGGACAGGAGGAATACCCACCTGCCGCCCTCTTGGGACCGAAGCCAGACGGCGATCCTCTTCCCGGGGGAGAGGAAAAGAGACCTGGGGACGCCGCACTACTCCTGAGCGAAAACGTGGAGATGAAGCCCTCCCTGCCCACAGCCGCTCTCCAGTGTCTCATCTTTGGAGACTTTGCCGTTCAGAGGGGGAAGCTGAGGTCTGCAGGCCACCGGGGTGAAGGGTCCAGGAGCGGGGTCGTGGGGGTGGCTACGGGGGGCAATGACAAGTCCCCTCTGCCTGCCGCTGATGCCACTGGGGCTCCTGAGGAGAGAGAGAGGAGGTCACAGACCGAGGGGCCAGAGCGCATACAGCTGGCACCCCTAAGCCCTACATACAGGCCATCCCCCCCTTCCCGCCCTTGGCCCCAGAGGCCTGTAGGAGAACCCAGGAACCCTAGGACTCCCAAGTATTCCCCAGCCCGAGTTCACTGGCCCTCCTCGCCTTCCCCTTGAGGTCATAACAAATCCCAACAGCTCTCAAGAGGACTCTTGATGCACCACCCCCTTTCCCGGCCACACTCTGGTCCAGGGCTCACCATCTCCAGGACACCCACCCTTGGGTGCCACCAGATGGAAGGAGGATCAGAGAGCAAGCCCCGGGCTAGGGGCAGGAAGAGGCCATCTCCTCCCCTCCCCCACAGCCTGCATCCCTGCCGGGGCTGGGTGTGGACTAGTCTACGTCTCCTGGAGATCCCCGAGATAGGAAGCTGCGATAAGGACTAATGACTACTGTCGCTCCACGGGGCCTGGCTTCAAAGAAACCATTATCTGTGACTCAGGCCTCCAGTTAAAGTGGTGTGTGTGTGTGTGTGTGTGTGTGCACGCGCGCGCGCAGATGGAAAGGGCAGTTTGGGTGAATCCTAGAAAGGAGACACTCCTGGGACACGGGTGCAGAGGAGCAGAGACGAGGTGCAGGGACAGAGGGACTGAGACCTGGGTGCCGACCAGCGACCCAGCTTCCATGGCCCAGCCAGCGGTGAAGCCACAGAACAGTGCAGTCTGGGGGTGCCCCCACCCATGCCCCCCACTCCTCATTCTCTGGCTCCCTGCCCACTCTAGGAAAGAAAGAACCTAAACCAAATCAACACATTTTTCCCCCTCCTCTGGAAATCATTCCAGATGTGGTAGCCTGTTGCCTCCCCCTCAAAATAAAAAGACCATTCCTCTTGGCCTACAGCTGAGCCCAGGGCCCCAGACAGCTGCTTCTGCCCTGAACACCCACCACTTCCTCCCAACCCCTCTCCCGGTGCCGTGCTGTTTCCCTGACTCAGGCGCTGGGGGTAGGGGGTGTCCAAGCTCTACTGCTCAAAAGGCAACAGCCTCAAACCACTCTCCCACTCCATATGCAAGCCCCTACCACCTCTTGGGAGTCCATGTGACCTGGCCCTCCTCTCACTGCTCCCCCACCCACCCGGGAGCCCGATTTCCCCCTCCACTGTGCCTGTCTCCCTCTGGGACCCCTTCACTCCTCTACCCGAGCCCCTGCAGGCCCCCATACCGGAGCTGGCCACTGTCCACTCCTCCTGGTGCTGCTGCTGGTGCTGCAGGAAGCTGACTCGGCGGCGGAAGTGTCGGGGACAATGCGGGCAGGTGAAAGGCCCCTCTCGAGGCGCGTGGACGCGCCCGTGGCCCTCCAGCCGGGCAGCTGTCCGGAAGGCCTTGCCACAGATGCTGCAGCGATGGCGCTTGGGGTCCGTGTGGGTCCTGCCATGGTTCTTGAGAGACAGCAGGTTGGGCAGAAGCTTGGGGCAGAGGGAGCAGGGGTAGAGCCCAGTGGTGTGGGCCTTCTGGTGGTTCAGCAGGCTGCCCGCATGGCGGTAGGAACGCCCACACTGTGCGCAGCGGAAGGGCCGCTCCCTGTCTTCAGCCGGCGTGGGCTGCATTCTCTGCCTCCCACCAGCCCGCTCGGCATTCTCCTTGGAGGGTTCTGCTGGGGCCTCCTGAGCCTCCCCTTGCTCAGGGAGCCCCGGCTCCCCCTGTCCCGTCCCAGCCGCCTCCTCCATCTGGGTTGGCACCTGACTCTGGTCCTGGGCATGGGTCTGTAGGTGGTTGGCCAGGTCATGATGGTACTGAAAGGCCTTGTCACAGTCAGGGCAGGCAAAGGTCTGGGCAGCTAGATGGTTAGTGGCCACAGGACTCAAGGACTCCCTGTAGCAATGCAGGCAATTGAGGCTGTGGTTCAAAAGGCCGTCGGGCTGGCTGTAGGCTTTGCCGCACCGGCTGCAGGAAGGAGGAGACTCTGGCTGGCGCTGGGAGCTGCCGTCCCCATCCTCCCAGCCATCCGTGTGATTCAGACTGGGTCCATTGGTCTGGCCATTACCGATGTGGCAAGGACTCCTGGGATCATCGTCCTCTGACTTGTCTTCTGCCTTGGTTGGCACCTGACCAGGAGGAACCCAACCTCCCTTGTGATTCACCAGGCCCCCGGCTCCATCTGCCTTCCCCGAGCCCCATGACAGTGGCTCTGTGGCTTCTGGACCCACTGCCTGAATGGCGCTCTGACTGAGCTCCCCAGGCCTTGCAGCTCCAACCTCCTCCAGCCGCAGCCCTGACTCAGTCCCACCCGATCTGTCCTGCAGACCCTGGTTGTCAGCCAGGTTCCCCTTGCTGCCAGCGGAGCCATCTGGACCTCCTGGGCCAGTGGGCAGCTCTCCTTCGGTCTGCTGCTCGTGCTCCCGCAGGTGCCGCTCCAGAGATCCCCGGCCAGGGAAGCCGCGACCACAGAGGGCACAGCGCACAGCTGCCCGCCGGGCCCGACCGGCCCGCCGCCGGCGACTCTCGGAGTGCAGCCTCTGATGGTCCTTCAGAGCCATGCGGTTGGAGTAGGTCTTGGGGCAGGCAGGGCAGCTGTACTGGCCTGTCTCGTGGCTGCGCCGATGGTTCAGGAGGCTGCCGGCATGGCGGTAGGTCCGGCCGCACTGCCCACACCGGAAGGGCCGATCTTCCCGAGCCAGCTTCCGGGCGCCCCCGCCGCCTCGCCGCTCGGCGTGCACCCGCTGGTGGCTGGCCAGCTGTTTCCGCAGGCGGAAGGCCTTCCCACACTCACTGCAGCGGAAGCGCCGGGGGTCGGCGTGGATGCGCCTGTGGTTCTTGAGGGACATGAGGTTGGAGAAGCCCTTGGAGCAGGCCTGACAGCCGAAGTGGCCCGTCTGGTGGCTCTGCCGGTGATTGATGAGGCTGCCGGCGTGCTTGTAGGAGCGGCCGCACACCTCACAGCTGAAGGGCCGCTCAGAGCTGGCCTCAGTCTGACAGCCTTTCTCGGCCGTCTCCAGCCTCGGCTCCACCTCCTCCTTCACCGTCGTCTCCTCCCACGCCTCTTCCTTCACCTGCGTCGTCGCCTCTGCCAGGGGCTCCGCCTTAAGCTCCTCCTGGAGCTTCCCGGCTTCCGCCTGCTCTGCCCCCTCCTCTGCCACGACCTGGGGCTCCGTGCTGCCCCCTGCCTCCGGGAGGGGCCGCACCTGGGGCTCAGAGCCTTTGCAGCGGGGGTGGTTCCGCAGGTGATTCCGGTAGGCGGCCAGGTTGGGGTAGCAGCGGGAGCAGACGGGGCAGCTGAAGTCTCCAGTCTGGTGGATCTTGCGGTGGTTCACCAGGCTGCCCCCGTGGCGATAGGTTTTGCCACACTGGTTGCAGCGGAAGGGGCGAGGCTGGGCCTCAGGCAGACTTTCTCCGCCCTGCACGCCAGCAGAGCCATCTGCAACTGTGCCAACTACTCCCTCCTCAGACTTCGCATCTCGACCCTCTCCAGAGACAGAGGTCTCCGTGCCCTCAAAGACAAGGTCTGTAACCATCTCCACAGCATCACCGGCTGCTCTCAAGGGGCTGGGCACCTTCTCCACGGTATTCTGAGAGTTCTGACTCTGGTGGTGGCGTTCCAGGCTCCCCAGGTCATCGTAGGTCTGACCGCAGCAGCCACAGATGTGCCCGTAGCCTGCTCCATCCAGCGCCTCCACCTCGCGCTGCAGCTGATTCAGCAGCTCTGCCTCCGAGACCTGCAGCGGAGGACTATGGGTAGAGGTTGCTTCTGCGGCTCCTTCCTCCTCCCCCTCCTCCTCCTCTGAGCCCTCAGTCGTGCCGGAGGAGTTGTGGGCCTGGCGCTGGTGAAGCCTATAGCCGGCCCGCCCAGGGAAGATCATGCCACAGAGGCAGCAGAGGAAAGGCTGTGCTGAGGCCACCTCCCCTGGCCCGTGGCTCTGGAAGTGGCCGCGCAGGGCTGGCAGAGAGTCAAACTCCTTTGGGCAGAGGGAGCACTGATAGATGCCTGGTGGGTGACAGGGCCTGTGGTCCAGCAGGCCAGTGGCATGGGGAAAAGAATGCCCACAGTCAGAACATGTGTGAGGGACCTCGGCCTGCCAGCCAGCGGCAGCCTCGGCACAGTGTGAAGAGGGCGCCGGCTGGCCAGTGGTCACTTTCTCTCCATCCGCCGTGCTAAGGCCATCACAGAAGCGAGTCTCGTTGCATTCCCCACCGCCTGGGATGGCCAAGTTGTTGAGGTGACAGGCCTCCCTCCCTTCCAGTCCTCCCTCGGGGCCTTGGCTCTCTTTGTCACCCTGTGAACAGGGCTCACCCCTTTCCAGCCCACATTTCCCTGCAGGTTCTGCCTGCAGACGGTCCCCTTCACTTTCCAAGTTGCCTCCGGCCCCAGCAAGGCTTTCTCCCGAAGGCTCTTGGGCAGCGTGCAGGCCCTCGTCGTCTGCCAACTCCTGGGCCCAGGTCTCCCCTGACGGGAGTTTGGCATCTCCTCTACCAGCACTGCCTGCCTGCTTCCGATGCCGCCTGCTCCGCCGCCGACTGTGGCGTCGCAAATGGTTCTTCATGGCGGCCATGGTGTGGAAGTGCTTGGCACAGGCCTCACAACTGAAGTCCCCCGTCTGGTGGGTCTGCCGGTGGTTGATAAGGCTGCCTGAGTGGCGGTAGCTCTTTCCGCAGTCTCGGCAGGCGAACGTCCGAGGTGGTGACGCTGTGGTCTCTGTCCTGCTGTTCTCTCCTCCCCCGAGGCCATGGGTCAGGCCGTGATGTTCCAGGCTCTTAGGGTCTTCAAAGAGCATCCCGCAGATGTTGCACATCTGGGCTGCCGTCCTATCTGCTTCTAGGAGGGGGCCAGAGGCCGCCTCCTCAGGTGTGCACACCCGCCCCTGATCTGCTACCACAGGATGAGGGGGTTCTACCTTAAGGTGGCTGGGAGGACTCTCAGTCCTTGGGTCTGCACTTCGGCGAGCAGCCTTGCAATGCACGCGCACGTGGTTGCGCAGGGCCATGAGGTTGGGGTATTTGCGGGGACAGAGTGAACACTGGTACTCCCCTGTCCGATGGCTGTGCCGGTGATTCACCAGGCTCCCCCGGTGCCGGTAAGCCCGGCCGCACTCATTGCACTTATAGGGCCGATGATCCAGGGTGGGGGGCGGGACCTCTTCCTCTCTGTGGGTGCTCTCAGCTCCTAGCAGGGGAGCTGGCGGCACTGATGGCTGCCCATCTTCCCCCATTCCTTGTCGGGGCCTGTGATGGGCACGCACATGGTTTTTGAGGGCAGCGGCATTGAACAGCTGTTTGGAACAGACTGAGCAAGGGTAGACCCCTGTTTGGTGGCTCTTGCGATGGTTGATGAGGCTCCCGGCGTGGCGGTAAGTCCGGCCACAGTCCCCACAGCGGAAAGGCCGGTACTCCTCCAGGCCACTCTCGTCCAGCTCCCCGGAGCCATTCAGCATCTGAGTACCAGGGAGCCGGGCCTGGCTGGTCTCATCCATGTGCCCGTTTGTGGTGGGCGGCCCTTTCTCCTCCCATGGCTGCTCCTGCCTTTCGCCCTCATGGGACTGCTGATGCTCCAGCAGCTCCTGGGGGAGCCGGAAGGCACGAGGACAGCGAGGACAGTGGTAAGGCCGATACTGGGCATGGAGTCGGGAGTGGTTCTTCATAGCCATGAGGTTAGAGAACTCCTTGAAGCAGATGCTACAAGGGTAGACGCCCAGGGTATGGCTCTGGCGGTGGTTGGTGAGGCTCCCGGCATGCTTGTAGGTCTTGCCACACTGACCACACTTGTAGCGCCGCTCCTCCTCCGCAGGAGGGGACTGGGGAGGCAGCTGGCCCTCTGCGAAGTTCACTACTGACTCAGCCAGATACTGTTCCAAGTTGCTAAGGAGGCTGCTGGCTGGGGTGGGGAGAGGTGGGGCTTGGGCGGAGTTGGTGGTCGGTCTCCAGCCCTCTGTGCCCTCCTCAGGATCCCGCTGGCTGTCCCAGCTTTCTTTTTGTCTGGCGGGTGCATCTTCCCAAGTGCCTGCAGGCGCCCTGGGGTCGGGTCCAGACTCAGAGTCAGCTGCCTCTTCAGTGTGTTTGGCCTGGTCTCCCCAGCCTTCCCCAGGGCCAAGCCCCTGGCCCCAGGAATCAGCAGACACTGCCTCACGCTGGAGGTGGGGAGCGGCTTCCCTGGGGCGGGGGGGCCTGCGCCTGCGGCGGCCCTCAGGAGCGTGAGTCCTCATGTGGCTCTTGAGGGCCATGGGGTTGGTGAAGTCCTTGCCACAGGTGGGACAGGGGAACAGGCCAGTTTCATGGGTCCGGCGGTGGTTGACCAGGCTCCCGGGATGGCGGTAGCCCCTCCCACACTGCTGACAGCGGTAGGGCCGGGGGATGTTGTCAGCCTCCTCACTGTCCTGGCCGGGAGCTGGATGAAGCAGTTCTCGGTGCCGTGACAGTTCCGGGAGGCTAGGGAAGTGGCGCTGACAGTCAGAGCAACTGAATGAGAGGGGCGTGTCCTCCATGGGGCAACGGAGTGAAAACCAGAAGGTTCAGGAGGAGCAGACAGGTGGCAGCAGCATTTTCCTCTGCTTGAGGAGTCAAGGCCTAGGAAGAGGGGGCAGTGGTCAACAAGGAAGGCCTCAATCAACTTCCCCTCTCGGCTCTGCGAGCCACAGGTCACCGGGGGGTCACGGGAAGGCTCCCTCAGCACTGGCGCCCTGGGACCTGCTTTCTACTAGATCCACTCTGGAGGCACAACACTGAAAGCCTCCCTGTGTCCAGGTGCCCCACACGCAGGAGCTCCTCCAGGCTGAAGTCATCTCTAGAGAATCAGAGGAGACACAGAATCTAAAGGGCTGCCGCCTCCTTCCGATCGCAACCCAGGTGCCTCCCAGACTCAGAAAGATCTGCCTGGGTAATGCTGAAACAAACACAATGTCTCCTGTGGCCTCCTAAAAGAGAATCAGAACCTTTACTAGGAAAGCCCGAGCCAAGGCCCTGAGAGGAGAGGTTAGAGCCCGCTTCAAGGCCTGATCCACCACCTCTCCTAATCTGTTCAGGGTCAAAAGGTCACCTTTCCAGAAGGTTCTCTCGGCTACTCTCCCTGTACTTGTCCTGCCGACTAACTCAAGCTATCTTCCATCTTTGACATCTTGCCCCATTTCTGGGTGGAAGGTTATTTCACCCCTTATCTTTTAATTTGCCACGCTTCCTTATCTGACACTCACCATCCCGTCTTGGGTCTTCTTCTACCTCCTCTCTTAACTTAGGCCGGGCGTTACCACCTGCCAGGCACTGTGCTAGGTCAAGTTTATTCATTGTGTCACTTCACCGTTACCGCCCGCTGCGATCAATACCTGCTCTCCCAGCTCACACACGAGCGAACTCACTGAGTCCTCGTTCCAAAGCCCTTTCTCATTGGCGGCCCTCCACGCCTCCCTCCTACATCTCCTCGACCTCTTCCAGCGCGGACCCTCCACTCCCACGGGACCTCAATACAGCTGCCTCTCCCATCTCCGACGCTAAACTCCGTCTGAATCCCCCTCCCCAAATTCTCACCTCACAAAGCCCCTTCGTTCAAGTCTCCTCCCCTAGGCAACCACCAACTAGGTCCTCTCGCGTCACTCATCTCCTCTGCCGGTTTCCCCTTAGGACCCCTACCTCGCACCGGCGGCCCCTTCTCGTTCCCGCCGCGGGCGCGTCCGTTGGGGACCGCGAACGGGGGCGCGCCTGCGCACTGGGACCCTTACCCTAACTGCAGGCGCGCGCCCCAAGGGGTGGTTGTCCGGGGCTATCGCGCTCCCACACACGAACACTCAACCGGGGTTCCCAGAAGGTGAAAGGAGAGGGAAAGAAGGGAAAGGAAGGAAAAGGTGGAGGGAAGAGGGCACAGCTCGTACAAGCCAGTAGTCTACCCCCAGGTCCGCGGACACTTCCTATTGTTACTGAGAAACAGGAAGTGTCCCAGGTGCAAAAGCTTCCCCGAGAAACTTCCGCCACAGGACACTTCCCGTTCCGCCTCCAAGCGACGGTCTACAAAGACACACTTCCGGCGTTAGGGACCCGTTCAGCGCAATCCTGGCTCCGCCCACGGAGGTCACAGCGCCGCTCTCGTTGCAAACTAACTTAGCCACACTTCCGTCCGGTGCAGAAAACCGTTCCGGTGCACGCAGAATTAGCGCCGAAGAGGCAGAAACAGATTCTGCCACCCTGCCCTTGGTATTTGGTGACACCGTTCGTGGGGCTCCCTGAGATTTCTGAGTCCCGGGGCAGATGGGGGCGAGCGCCATTAAATTCGCTCCTCGCTATTAAAAGAAATATGGAACATAAGCGGATTTGGGTATTACGAGGCTTGAGCGTGGCCTCTCCGACCTCCCACCTCCGACTTCTCGGAGCCACTTCCAGTGATCCGGCCCCAAGACAGCAGTAGCCCCGTGTACCCCACACAAGCACCCTCACAAGACGTCTGTCCGCCACGGTAGGGCTGCAGGTGCGGCCGCAAACCGTCCCGCCCTCCCTCCCAGGAAGTTCCCGCCACTTCCGCTCCGGGCCCCGCCCCTCCGCCCCGCCCCCGCCCCCGCTGGGTCCTAGCGCCGGCCCCTCTCCGGCAGTGTCCCGGGCTCCGTCGGCGAGAGGAGCCGCAGCCGACGCCGCGGAGCCAGCCCGAGCCCGACCAGGTAGGAGGCGCCGGCAGGCGGCCGCGGGGCCTCCGGGCAGCCCTCGCGCCGACGCGTTCCGAGCCGGCCTCAGTTTCCCTGGCAGCGCTGAGGACGGACTGGGTTGGCCCGGCGCGAGCGGCGCGGGCGGGGCGGGCGGGGAGCGGCCCCGGGCGGGCTCCGGGCCCAGCGGGTCCTAGAACCCGCCGGCTGTCCCCTCGCGGGCCGGCGGCTGCGGACGCCTGGGCTCGCCGGCGCGGCCACCGGCCTCGCTGCGGTGCGGGCCCGGGGGTCCTAGAGCCCGCCACGTTGCGGGGCTTTTGTCTCGGCCGCGGGCCCCACCACGCCGGGTCCCCGGCGCCCGTGGCCCCCTCCCGGGCCGAGGCCCTGACCGCCCCTCCCGCGGTCCTAAAGAACGCCATCTTGCAGGCCTTTGTCCCGCACTGGGCCCTCGCTCCATTCATTTGGTCTTGGCCTCCTTCTTCGTCCACTCCTTCTCGCCATGGCCTCTGAGGCCACGTTTTCCGCAGGCTTATTACGGGGCTAGCCAGCGGGGGCGCGGGCCGGCGACGCGGGGGCTGGACGCAGGCTTTCTGCAGCCCTTGACCCCGTCCTTAGCGCGTTTCGTAGGCCCCGACCGCCCTTCAAGCTCCCGCAGGCTTTGGGAGCCCCATTTAACTGATGGACACACTGAGGGCGAGAGCGCCGTGAGGCCCGTTAAGTGTTCCCGGGTTCACTGGAGGAGAGACTGTTGGAAGGGTGCAGAGGAGTCTTCCCACGGGGGAAGGCAGACAGGGGCTCCCGAGGAGGCGGAATGGCCTATGCGGTGACTGCTCGTTTGGCGATCGGGAAACGGGTGTCTCCATGCTCATTTCATCCCGGGGGCCTAGCCCAGGCTGCCTGGGAAAGGAATGCGTGCAGCCCGGGTGGAACAGAACTCTTGTTCGCCTCCTCTGCTAACACCGGGGCAAGGCAAGGCTCCATCGCCCCAACAGCGAGCCTGCCGTGGGAGAGCGGGGTGACATTGGGCCCTTGCGAAGGAAGGAACGGTTCAGTTGATCAGCATGAAGGTGCTTCAAAACGTTCATGGAAAAAGAGACTGGAGGCAGTGAAGTCCCTGCTTGGGTTGCCACACCCTGTGGGGGAGTGCCTGGGTTCCACTCAGCCTTTGCTAAAGCACACCCTGGGAGGACCAGGCTCAAGTGCGAGGTCCTTGTCATTCACGTGGGAGACTCTGATTGGGTTCTCAGCTTCTGGCTTCGGCTTGGCCCAGCCCTGACTCTCCAGACGTTTGGAGACTAAACCAGGAAATGGGCCTTCTCTCTCTCTTTTTCTCTTTCTCTCTCTCCTCTTTTGCCTTTCAAATAAAATAAGTTTTTTAAGAAAGAGTCAAAAATAAGCTTATTTTGGTGCAAAAAAAAATTTGAAATCAATGCATATGAGGGGTCTTTAAAAAATTCACAAAGGGGTCTGCACTGAGGCCTGGTGGGTTAAGCCTCTTCCTGAAGTGCCGGCATCCCATATAGGCACCACGTCGGGTCCCGACCATTCCACTTCCAATCCAGCTCCCTGCTGTAGCCTGGGATAGCAGTAGAAGATGGCCCAAGTCCTTGGGCCCCTACACCCACAATGGGAGACCTGGAAGAGGCTCCTGGCTCCTGGCTTCAGCTTGGCCCAGCCCTGGCTGTTGTAGCCATTTGGGGAGTGAACGAGGGGATGGAAGACCTCTCTCTTTCTCTCTGTAACTTGGCTTTTCATATAAATAAATAAATCTTTAAAAAAGAAAATTCATGAAAAATGTATATCATGAAAAAACTTTGCAAGGATTTAAACTTTTGGATTAAAAGAAACATCTCTTAATCCCATTTTGCCAGAAATGTTTTCAATTACCCTCATAGTTGTTGCCTGACAGTTTCACAGACTCCCGCTATGGTGGGGGGGAGCTCAGGCTATAGTCCTGAGTGCGAACTGAGTTCTCCCAGAGGTTGGTTGAATGTTGTAAGTTACCCGACAAGGTTCTGGGGTGTAGAAGATGCAGACAATCAAGTTCCCCAAGCTCTTTGGCAGCCTGGACACCAGGGCTGGAGCCAGAGAATGCACAAACCACAAAATGTGTAAAGGCTAGCAAAGCAGCAGTCCAGGGGCAGCGGGCAGGAGCCTGACCACCTTACTTAGGATACTGGCCATGACTGTGACCAGTGACTTTGCCATTCTGTGGGCTCACTTCCTTAAGAACACATTGAACCTTAACTGTTTCTGTTAAGGCCCTGTCTCCAGAGGCAGTCACTGTAGGGCTTAGGGCTTTGATATATGAATTTAGGGGGACACAAACATTCAGTCCATATTATACTTTCAGGCAGTTGTGGGATTAACTTGAATAGTGTGGAGGAAATGCTTAGAATGGCACCTGGCCCCCCAAGGTTAGCTCGCAGGAGTGTTACCTGGATGATACCAGAAAGGAAATTAAAAAGGAGGGGAGGGGCCGGCGCTGTGGTATAGCAGGTAAAGCCGCTGCCTGCAGTACCAGCATCCCGTATGGGTGCCGGTTCAAGTCCCGGCTGCTCCACTTCCGATCCAGCTCTCTGCTATGGCCTGGAAAAGCAGTAGAAGATGGCCCAAGTGCTTGGGCCCCTGAACCTACATGGGAGACTCAGAGGAAGCTCCTGGCTCCTGCTTCGGATTAGCTCAGCTCTGGCTGTTGTGGCTATCTGGGGAGTGAACCAGTAGAATGGAAGATCTCTCTTTCTCTCTTTCTCTGCCTCTACCTCTCTGTAACTCTGCCTTTCAAATAAATAAATATTTTTTTTTTTTTAAAAAGGAGGGGATAGAGAGTAATTGGCAGTTGTACGGTTAGCATTAACAAAGGTGATATAGAGGTGAGCATTTGGCAAGGACCTGAGGCGCCACTTGGGACACCTGCATCCCATTCTCAGAGCACCTGCTTCCAGTTTCAGCTTCCTGCCAGTGCACACCCTGAGAGGCAGCAGATGACGGCTCAAGCACTTGTGTGTGTCCCGGCCATCCATGCAGGAGACCCAGGTTGAATCTTATGGCTGTGGCCTGGCCAAGCCCCAGCTGGTGAAGGCATCTGGGGAGTGAACCAGCAGATGGGCAAAATCTCTCTGACTCTGAGCCTTTCAAATAAGCCGCGGCTTGGGTTGCCGGCATGCCATATTGGAGAGCCAGTTTCAATCTCAGCTGCTCCACTTCCAGTCCAGCTTCCTGCTAATGCATCCTGGGGGGCAGCAGGCTCCTGGCATTGGCCTTGCCTAGCCCTAGATGTTGTAGGCATTTTGGGAGTGAACCAGCTGATGGAAGATTCTCTCTTTCTCTCCCTCTCTCTCTCTCTCTGCCTTTCAAGTATATTAAATATAAATAAAGTATATGAAAATAAATAAAGATTATTTTAAAAGCGGTAAAGAAACCCCTCTTTGGGCCTGCGTTGTGGTATAGCAGGTTAAGCTGCCACCTACAATGCTGGCATCCAATACGGGTGCCAGTTCGTGTCCTGGCTGCTCCAATTCCAATCCAGCTCCCTGCTAATGGCCTAGGAAGGCAATGAAAAATGGTCCAGATGCTTGGGCCCCTGCCACCCACATGGGAGACCTGGATGGAGTTCCAGGCTTTTGTCTTTGGCCTGGCCCCGCCCCAGCTATTGTGGCCATTAGGGTAGTGAACCAGTGGATGGCAGGTTCCTCTCTCTTTGCTCTCCCTCTCTCTCTCTCAACTCTGCATTTAAAATAAAATAAACAAACAAATCTTTTAAAAAAAGAAGAAAGGTGGCACAGTGTTATGGTACAGCTGCTGCCTGGAATGCTGACATCCATGTGGGCACTGATTCGAGTCCTGGCTGCTCCGCTTCCCATTCAGCTCCCTGCTAATGGCCTGGGAAAGGCAGCGGAAGATGCCAGGGGCTTGGGCCCCTGCACCCACATGGAGACGTGGATGAAGCTCCTGGCTCCTGGCCATTGCAGCCATCTGGGGAGTGAAATAGCAGATGGAAGACCTCTCTCTCTCTGTCTCTCCCCCTTCTCTCTGACTTTCAAATAAATAAATACATTAAAAAAAAAAAAGGAAAGGGAAAGAATAACAAAAAAAGAGGAAACCCCCCCTTCTCCCCTTTGAGAAGGTGATAGAGAACTGAGACCGAAATGAAATTTAAAGACAATTATATAAAAATCTCAGAGAAATAGTGGTTCTTTTTTTAAAAAAAGATTTATGTATTTATTTGAAAGGCAGAGTTACAGAGGCAGAGAGAGATTTTCCATCCGCTGGTTCACCCCCGAAATGGCTGCAACAGCTGGAGCTGCGCCAATCCAAAGTTAGGAGCCAGGAGCTTCTTCCAGGTCTCCCACAGGGAGACTTGGGCCACCCTCCACCGCTCTCCCAGGCCACAGCAGGGAGCTGGATCGGAAAGAAGCAGAGCAGCCAGGACTAGAACTGGTACCCAAATGGGGTGCCGACACTGCAGGCCGCAGCTTAACCCGCTACGCCACAGCACCCCCTGTACAACAGTGGTTCTAAATGAGGGAAATGTTAGTGCGAAGGTCCTGAGGTCGGAGGGAATTTAGTTGTTTGAGAAGAAAGGAGGCCCGTGTGAGTGAGCTCGTGAACCAAGGCGGGAGGTGTGGGAGGTGGGAAAGGCGGGAGTTAAAGGGTTCAGGCCTTGCTAGCAGTGGAGATACTGTCCTCGTTCTAGGAGCAGTGTTATGATTTAGGTCTTAAGTCTCGAGTGAGAAATAGATGCTGTGGCACAGCTGGCAAAGCCACCACTTGAGATGCCCACAACCCATGCCAGAGTGCCTGGTTCAAGTCCCAGCTACTCCATGCTTCCAATCCAGCTCCCTGCTAATGCTCCTTAGAGACAACAGGTGATGGCCCAAATGCTTGGGTTTCTGCCACCCAGTGGGAGACCCAGATGGAGGTCCTGGCTCCTGGCTCCTGGCTTCAGCCTGGCCCAGCCCTGGCTGTTGGGGGCATTTGGGGAGTGAGCCAGTGGATGAAAGAACACACACTCTCACTCTCACTCTCTCTGCCCTTTAGTTAAATAAATAAATGTTTTGTTTTTTTTTTTTTTTTTTTTTTTTTTTTTACAGGCAGAGTAGACAGTGAGAGAGAGAGACAGAGAGAAAGGTTTTCCCTCCATTGGTTCACCCCCCAAGTGGCCACTACAGCCGGCGCACTGCGCCAATCCGAAGCCAGGAGCCAGGTGCCTCCTCCTGGTCTCCCATGCAGGTGCAGGGCCCAAGCACCCGAGCCATCTTCCACTGCACTCCCGGGCCACAGCAGAGAGCTGGCCTGGAAGAGGAGCAACCAGGACAGAACCGTCACCACAGGCGGAGGATTTAGCCTAGTGAGCCGTGGCGCTGGCCAAATTTTTTTTTTTTAAACTCGAATGAGGAGCCGGCATTGTGGCCTAGTGGGAAAAACCGCTGCCTGTAATGCCAGCATCCCATACGGATGTTCGAATCCTGGCTGCTCCATTTCTGATCCATCTTCCTGCTAATGCGCCTGGGAAAGCAACGGAGGATGGCCCAAGCCCTTGGGCCCCTCCACCCAGGTGAGAGACCTCTATGAAGCTCCCAGCTCCTGGTTTCGGCCTGGCCTGGCCCTGGCTGTCATGGCCATCTGGAGAGTGAATCAGCAGATGGAAGATCTCTCTCTGTTTCTCTCTCTCCCTCTCTTTCTGTAACTCAGGCTTCCAAGTAAAATATAAATCTTTTTAAAAAATAAAAAGGTAAAGACCTTGAATGAGTGAACAATGATAGAGGAGGAACTTGGGGCAGGCAGGTCGAGTTTGAGTCTGGGCTGCTTGGCTGCCCGTGTGTCCTTGTGCGCGGGTCTCCCCTGGTGGGGTCTTAATCCCCATTTGTGGACAAGGGAGGAGATAAACATGCGGGTCTCCCTGGAGCTCATGGCGACCTGAGCGTGTGTGCTGTGTCCTGAAGCGGATGACGCAGTGTGTGCCTAAGGAACAGATTCCTGCGTGCTGCCTCAGGCTCCCCGGGCGATTACCCAGACGCAGACCTGTGTGCAGAAGCTTCACCCTCAGGCTGGTGCAGTGGCACAGCAGGCTAAGCCTCTGCCTGCAGGGCCAGCATCCCATATGGGCACCGGTTCTAGCCCCGGCTGCTCCACTTCCAATCCGGCTCTCTGCTATGGCCTGGGAAAGCAATGGAAGATGGCCTAGGTGCTTGGGAGGCCTGGAAAAAGCTCCTGGCTCCTGGCTTCAGCCTGGCCCAGAGCTGGCTGTTGCGGCCATTTGGGGAGTGAACCAATGGATGGAACACCTTTCTCTCTGTCTCTCCCTCTCTCTGTAACTCTACTTCTCAAATAAATAAAAATTTTTTAAAAATACTTAAGTGTGGGGGTGAAAGATTCCTCAGTAGACAGTTAAGAGGGGATTTTTTTTTAAAGATTTATTTATTTATTTGAAAGAGTTACCAAGAGAGAGAAATTCTGTCCACTGGTTTACTCCCCAGATGGCCACAACAGCCAGCTCTGGGCCAGGCTGAAGCCAGGAGCCAGCAGCTTCATCCCTGTAGGTGGCATGAGCCCAAGGACTTGGGCCATCTTCCGCTACTTTCCCAGACCATTAGCAGAGAACAGTGTTACCCACTATGCCACAATGCCGGCCCCTAAAGAGGATTTAATGATGGGTTTTAACAGAGGCCCAGCCTACTGAACCCTCAGCTCCTTAGGGCGCAGGGTGCCTGCTAGGGCCAATCTGGGACTCCCTTTCCTTTACCCTGGGACATGTCTTAGGAGGCATTTACCCCTCCCGCCTCCTGATCTGTGGTTCATTTAGGCTCAGGGCTGGCACTAGGGGCCAAGCTCACAAGCCGTGGGCCCAAGGAGTACAACAGAGACATAAAGGTGCCAGCTCTGGTCTCTAGGACGTTCTAGGGTGTGAGACAACGCACACTGTGCTGGAGCTCAGAGTTCTGGTCTGTGTGGGCTGGACCACCGAGTCAGGACCCATCAGTTTCAGGCAACTTAAATATCCGAATTCAAGTCCCAGCCACCGGAGTTAATAGCTGTGAGACCTTGGGTGAGTCACTTTACTCCTGGGACCTCAGTTGATTCATCTGGAAGATGGGCACAATAATCCCACGCTCCGGAAGTGACGAGGGACTGAAGTAAGGGAGCCTACTCAGCAGAGTGGCTCCAAGAGGACTCTTGGTAATTGAGGGCAGTAATTACCCTTGTTTCATTCACTCCTCAGCCACCCCCTGTGAGCTAAGTGTTATTATTACCTCCATTTTTCAGATGGGACACGGAGATTCTGAGACAGGCACTGAAATCGCACTAGGTCATGTCATTTGGGAAATGGCAGAGGCAAGAGTTGAAGCTGGGCAGTTTGGCTTCGGAGGCTCTGCCCCTGACCACGTTGCTTCACTGCTTCGGTGGACCACAGCTCTCGTCCCAGAACCTGCCTCGTGGTGTTGACATGAAGGGGGAGTTAGCACAGCAGAAGGCTCAGGATAGAAAGAGCTGGTGTGTGGCAAGCTATGGTATTTACCAAGGGGAAACTAACATTACTTATTTATTTAAGAGACAGAAAGCTGCCATTTACTGGTTCAGCCCCGCCCCCCAACAGCTGGGGCTGGACCAGGCGGAAGCCAGGTGCTGGCAGCTCCATCCAGGTCTCCCAGACCAGTGACAGGGACTCAACTACTTGAACCACCAGCAGTGGGTCCCAGGGCGCACATTAGCGGGAAGCTGGAATTGGGAACGAGGCTGGGACTTGATTCCAGGCACTCTGGTGGGGCTTGGGGATCTCAAGCAGGGTCTTGACCACTAGGCCAAATGCCCACCCTCAAGGAGGAACTTTATTGGGCAGACTCCCCAGAGCTGGTCCAGAAATAGGGAGGTTTCCCTTGGAAACAGGAGAAGGAGGCATCGGAGAGGTTGGAACTCAAGCCCTTTCACTCACCTTCAAGTCCCAGAATGTAGTGGGGAAAGGGAAAATACCTAGCTGAGGGTGGGGCAGAGTTGGGTGAGCTTGGGGCCCAGGCCCAAAGGGGAGCGCAGGAAGAGCTTCCCGAGGCTGGTGGGGCTCAGGTGGAGGACTGGTAGGATTCAGAACCACCAGGAAGGGGCTGGGAGCTTGCATGGCCAGATGGAAGCAATGGAAAGTTCTTGAGCAAGGGACAGGGAGCATCGTCTGGTAGGAGATTCCGGTGAGGGGCAGGGCAGCAAGTAGGGCTGAGGCAGGGCCTCCAGAAGAAGGGTGCCGACTCCTGCCCCTCACCCTCAGGTCCTCCCGTGGCCCACCAGGTACGCTGCGTCCTTTCCTGGAGTAAGGGGCCCCGAGCCTCTCTCTCTGTTTCTCCCTCACCCTCCTAGCTCTGCTCAGCTCCGTCCTCCCCCTCAACCCCACCGTCCCAGCTTAGAAGCCAGCAGCCCCCCAAGGTGTGCAGGTGAGGAGACAGAACCATAGGCAGGCACTGATTTCACCGAGGTCTCTTGGGAAGCGGGTCCCTGGGCTGGAGGTGCAACACAGGCTTCCTAGGCTCTGAGCACATCTGGCTCTCCCCCAGCCCCCCCCCCACAGCTGCAGCTGCTGAGCACTCCTTAAGTGGATCTGCCGTAATCCTCTTCCCTTCATCCCCGAGGGAGGATGAGCTGGTGTTAAGACTAATGCAGCCATTAATCCTATTTCCTCCAGCCATGATCCCAGGAGCAGCTGGGTGGAGGGTGTCTGGGCTCTGGACCAGGAAGTAGGCACCTCAGCCAGAGCTGGGGGCCCGTGAGGCTACACTGGAGCACCTACAGCGACCATGCACCAGGAAGAGGCTTCTAACCGCCAGCAGAGGCTCAGGCTGCCTTGATAGAACAAACGCCCCATTACCAGTCTTACAGGAACAGGCCAAGAGAGAGATTCCAGAGCAGAGGGTGGACTGGGATTCCTGTCTGGGGTGGAGTTACTTACAGCTGTGCAAGGCCAGAATTCTGCCCGAGCAGTTGCTATCTCCGGGAGCCAAGCCACCAGAGGGGAAAGATACGACACAGATGCTAGGGACCCCTTACTTCCAGGCAGTGCCAACCACATTTAGCCTATTGGCTCCGCCCTCTTCTGGACCCGGTCGGAATGCCCTGGGCGCTTGGAGACCTTCAGGCCTGGCCCATACTTGGGTGCCCTGTGCCCCTGCAGCCTGGCACAGGACCGTGCGTCCTGGCACAGTCCTTGGACACTGAGCTGAAGCAGCAAGATGATGCGATGGATGGAACCTGGCCCTCAGGGAACGCCACAGAGTTTGGAAAAATGTGGAGCTTTGCCGGCGCCGCGGCTCAATAGGCTGATCCTCCGCCTTGCAGCGCCGGCATACCGGATTCTAGTCCCGGTCGGGGCGCCGGATTCTGTCCCGGTTGCCCCTCTTTCAGGCCAGCTCTCTGCTGTGGCCCGGGAGTGCAGTGGAGAATGGCCCAAGTGCTTGGGCCCTGCACCCCATGGGAGACCAGGAGAAGCACCTGGCTCCTGGCTTCGGATCAGCGCAGCGTGCCTGCCACAGCGCACCAGCCGCGGCGGCCATTAGAGAATGAACCAACGGCAAAGGAAGACCTTTCTCTCTGTCTCTTTCTCTCACTGTCCACTCTGCCTGTAAAAAAAAAAAAAAAAAAAAAAAAAAGAAAGAAAAGAAAAGAAAATTGTGGAGCTTGGGGACCGTTTAACCTCTCTGAAGTCATCTGGCCCAACTCCTTTGACCATTGAACAACAACGGATCAGAGATGAATTTGAGCACAGGGTGACAGATTCAGGAATGCTTCCTAGAAAGGATGTGGGGTCCCCGTGGTGCTTCAGGCTGCAGCCTGGGTGGGAAATGTAGATATGATGGGTTTCTCGCTGAGATCTTGAAAGGGCTTTGGTAAGAGGCCATGGCCTTGAAGAAGGAGCGAAGGGATGTGGTTTCAGACTAACTTTGCTTCTCTTGCAGAGAAGCCCCGCCCACCAAGGTCATGGAGGTGGAGGCTGCAGAGCCCCGGTCTCCCACTCCTGGCTACAAGCGCTCAGGCCGGCGCTACAAGTGCCTGTCCTGCACCAAGACATTTCCAAACGCTCCCAGGGCAGCGCGCCATGCTGCCACACATGGGCCTTCGGACTGCACGGAGGAGGCTACCGAAGGGAAGCCAAAGCCAGAGACAGAACCCAAGGCGGAGGAAGCCAGTGGGGACAAGGTGTCAGGGTCAGCGGCTAAGCCTCGGCCCTATGCGTGCCCACTGTGCCCCAAGGCTTATAAGACAGCCCCCGAGCTGCGCAGCCACGGGCGCAGCCACACCGGCGAGAAGCCCTTCCCGTGCCCCGAGTGTGGCCGTCGCTTCATGCAGCCCGTGTGCCTGCGTGTGCACCTGGCCTCGCACGCGGGGGAGCTGCCCTTCCGCTGCGCGCACTGCCCCAAGGCCTATGGTGCGCTCTCCAAGCTCAAGATCCACCAGCGCGGCCACACAGGCGAGCGACCCTACGCCTGCGCTGACTGCGGCAAGAGCTTCGCTGACCCCTCAGTGTTCCGCAAGCACCGGCGCACACACGCCGGCCTGAGGCCCTATGGCTGCGAGCGCTGCGGCAAAGCCTACGCCGAGCTCAAGGACCTGCGCAACCATGAGCGGTGAGCTCCCTGCGCGGGGGCGGGGCAACAGTGCCGCTGAGCCAATGGGGCTTGGGGATGAGTCACAGAGAGCGACTGGGAGCCAGTGGGAAGGTGGGTGGGGCTGGGCAAGTGAGAGAAGTTGCTGCCCCCATGGGACAGTCGTGGGGGTGGGGACAGGGCAAGAGCGACTGGAGGAGCCCCAGTATGGCTGGGCGTGGCGCCTGGTCTGTCCAGGCCTTCGATGTACGAGAGGCGCCTTCCCTGGAATGGGGGGGGGGGGCGGCAACTGAAGGTTGGGGTGCTACCTTATGGCTCTTACGGCATTGGGCTGAGGCAGTCAGGTTGTGGATCTGTTACATCCCCGCTCCTCCACGCCCCCACAGGTCCCACACCGGCGAGCGCCCCTTCCTCTGCTCTGAGTGCGGGAAGAGCTTCTCCCGCTCGTCCTCACTCACCTGCCACCAGCGTATCCACGCGGCACAGAAGCCCTATCGCTGCCCGGCCTGCGGCAAGGGCTTCACGCAGCTCAGCTCCTACCAGAGCCACGAGCGCACTCACTCCGGGGAGAAGCCCTTCCTGTGCCCGCGCTGCGGCCGCATGTTCTCCGACCCCTCGAGCTTCCGGCGCCACCAGCGTGCGCATGAGGGCGTGAAGCCGTACCGCTGCGAAAAGTGCGGCAAGGACTTCCGGCAGCCCGCTGACCTGGCCATGCACCGGCGCGTGCACACGGGCGACCGGCCCTTCAAGTGCCTGCAGTGCGACAAGACGTTCGTGGCGTCCTGGGACCTCAAGCGGCACGCGCTGGTGCACTCGGGCCAGCGGCCCTTCCGCTGCGAGGAGTGCGGGCGAGCCTTCGCCGAGCGCGCCAGCCTCACCAAGCACAGCCGCGTGCACTCCGGGGAGCGCCCGTTCCACTGCAACGCCTGCGGCAAGTCATTCGTGGTGTCATCGAGCCTGCGGAAGCACGAGCGGACCCATCGAAGCAGCGAGGCGTCGGGGGCTCCCCCGCAGCAGGAGCTGGTCGTGGGGCTGGCACTGCCCGTCGGTGTGGCGGGCGAGGGCTCGGCTGCCCCGGCAGCAGGTACAGGGCTAGGAGACCCTCCGGCAGGGCTGCTGGGGCTGCCGCCGGAATCCGGCGGTGTGATGGCCACCCAGTGGCAAGTGGTAGGTATGACAGTGGAGCACGTGGAGTGCCAGGATGCTGCGGTCGGGGAGGCTCCCGGTCCCTTGGGAGGGGCAGGCGAGGTGGGGGGTGAGGAGGCCGATGAGAAGCCGCCGCAGTTTGCGTGCCGCGAGTGCAAGGAGAGCTTCGCCACAATGACCTTGCTGCGGCGGCACGAGCGCTCCCACCCGGAGCTGCGGCCCTTTCCCTGCAGCCAGTGCGGCAAGAGCTTCTCAGACCGCGCTGGGCTGCGCAAACACAGCCGCACCCACAGCTCCGTGCGCCCTTACACCTGCCCCCACTGCCCCAAGGCCTTCCTGAGCGCCAGCGACCTACGCAAGCATGAACGCACCCACCCTGTGCCCCTGGGGACCCCCACGCCCCTGGAGCCCCTGGTGGCTTTGCTAGGAATGCCTGAGGAGGGGCCAGCCTGAAGCCCACAGCCCCCTCCACCGCACCCCCAGGAGCCCGGCCCCCACAGGGTGCCTGCTCAATCTCCTTGTTCCCCGGCTCGTTAGACTCCACGCCCCCAGGCATCTGGCCCAGCTGTCTCCCAACAGAGCCACAGTACCGGCCAGGCAGCCGCCGAGACAGGGCCCTCACCGAGTATTGCGCATTAAAGCTTGCACTGGACACTGGGCGGTCTGCCGCGTTTGGTTGGGAAGGAGCAGGTGGAAGTTGCGAGACCCCGCCTCCCGCCCCCAGACAGATGCATCCTTTCCCAGAGTGTGTCCCGGGATGACAAAGGGTTCCATGGCCTCTACGTGCAGGAAATTCTCTATGCCCTTCTTGGGGATTCTGCAACAAACAGATCTGCTGAGCTGTGTTTAGCCCAGGCTTACTTGACCATGGAAATCTTTCTACTTAGTAATTCTACTTCTGACCCTTTTCCCTGTCATGCACACTGCAGCAAAAAAATCAGGAAGCATACTCAAAGGGAAAAAGGTTCCCACTCACAACCAAGAAACTACACAGGAGATACACCTCACGAGAAATGTGCAAATTGTTAATGAAAGAAAATGAAATGACAGAGAGACCTTACCTGAAGGGTAAGACCTGAACGAGAAGACTCGGTATGAAAAGATGTTGATTCTCTGAACCGGACTCAAAGATTCCGAGTTCGTATGCAATATATATTTTTAAAGACAGATGCGATGTTTCAAGGTGATGCATTTATCATCCTAGGTAGTCAAATGCTAAAAGCCTTGGCGTGAAGATAGGATATTATTGGCTAAAGAATAAGTCAATAGAATGTTAGAGGCATCCAGAACAACTCTGAATATTCCTGTGAATTTACGATGCATATGATTGTCTGCATCCATGGGAAAAGAAGACGCTTACATAGTTCCCCCCGTGTATCCATTCTCTGGAGAGCTACACAGCTGTTACACAGTCAATTCTCAAAGACCCACCAAAAATGGAAAAGCAAAACAGGAGGCTGTCTGCTCAGTGTAAACTGGTACAGCCTCTTGGAAAAATTATTCGATGATGCTTAGCAAAAAAAAAAAAAGTTAAATGTACAAACCCTTTGACCCAGCAAGTAGGCCTTGGGATTTACACCACAGATTTCCCTTCCCCTCTTTGGAAAAGTTGAAGGCAGCAGAATGTCCAGTGTGGCAAACTCTGGTAAGAAAGCACTGGGAACACTCAATGTCACTGGGAGAGGACTGATTTAAAAAAGACCGGCCACTGTGAAATGTACTCTCAGCCCTTTCTTCCTTCCCTCCTTTCCTTTTTAGTAAGGCCTGTCTATGTTGAAATTATCCACAAAATAAATCAGATGATACAAATGAGAGGCACAAGCTGTGTGGTTAGTATGCCGCCCTTTGGACCAAATCACTTAAGTGCTCAAGTTCCTATAGAATATTTCTCGAAGAATATTCAAGAATTGATTCCAGGTTATAATTTCCAACCGCTAGGGCCTTCCCCCAACCCAAAACAAAGCCAAAGGTCAGAGTGGACCAGAACCTCATTTCTGTTCCCATCAAGACTGGGCCATGGCACGAAATGAGCAGCATGTAACTCATCTCCAGCCCCACCGGCTATTCCTGGGGACTCTGAACCCACAGCCCAGTCAGTGGTCAGCACCAGAAGCCGATGCCCCCCTTGATGGCAGGGGTCTCTGCACTGTCGTGCCCAGGCCCTCAGATACTAGCCTTGAAAGAGGCCATGGCTGCTGATCCCAGCAGAACAAGGCCCATGGGCAATGGCAGGGCTGGAGTATCATGGCTGGAGGAAGAGTATCCCTGCTCCTCCTCATACCCAGAGCAGGATGAGCACTGACCCCCGGCTCCTACCTGTCCAGGTTGGAACCAAAGTGTGATGGCAGAAAGAAATGGAGCAGACTGGAAGGAGGCGGGCTCTGAACAGGTTGGTTTAGCTTAGGGGTAAGGAGGCACCTTGGAAAAGTTGGGCCCGGGATACCATATACACTAACCAATGATACCCTTGAGTATCGACTGAAATCCCATGGTCTCCTTGGGCATTCCAGGCAGCCACACCTGAGGCTCCCACACAGCTTTACAGGATACATCTTACGTACTGTACAGTTGGGTTATGCAACCGTCACCATCTAGTTCTGGAACATGTTCATCCCCTTGAAACTCCATGCCTGTGAGCTCACTCCCTATCCGCCCCACCCCCCACCCCCTGTCCTAACCACTCAGCTCTGGTCACTCATTGATCTACTTTCTGGACTTTTCTGTTCTGGACATTTCAAGTAAATGGAATCAAACAATATGTGGGTTTTTGTGACTCAGTTTTACTTACCATTATGTTTCAAGTTTCCTCCATTGGGTAGCTTGTATTATTACTTTTATTATCAAATAATACTGTTTTGTTTGCCCACTCATCAGCTGGTGGACCCCTGAAATGTTTGCATATTTGGCTATTTTGTGTCATGCTACTAGGAACATTCAGATAGAAACCTTTGTCTGGACCTGTTTCCAGTCCTCTGGTGTGTACTATACTAAGCAGAATTGCAGGCTCGTATGATAACTCTGTGTCAATCCACTTGGGGATGTTTTCCAAACCAGCTGCACCATTCCGCATTCCAACAGGGCGTGAGGGTTCCAGTTTCTCCACATCCTCACCAATACTTACTGTCATCTGTAAGATTCGTCGGTCGGTATGGTGACCATCCTGGTAGGCGTGAGTTTTGTAGCTAGGGCTTACATTTTCCTTGATGGCAAATGATGTTGAGTGTCTTTTCATGTGCTTCCTGGCCATCTACATATTATCTTTGGAAAAATGCCTGTGCATTTTTTGCCCATTTTTAAATTTGGTTCTCCTTTTGCTGTTGAGTGGTTAAGAGTTCAGGCGCCTTATGATTTGCCAAAATCCTCGTCACTTGTGAATTGCCTTTTTACTTTATGGATGGTGCTGTTTGAAACATGATGTCCAGTTCCTTTTTTAAATTTTTTTTTCTTATTTGGTTTCATGTGCTTGGGGTGCCATATCTAAGAAACCATTTCCTAATTTAAGGGCATGAAGATTTATGCTTATGTTTTCATCTAAGAGTTCATAGCTGAAAGTTTTATGAGCGCTTAGAAAGTTTATAACTTAGTTATAAACTTTTTTTTTTTTTTTTTTGACAGGCAGAGTGGACAGTGAGAGAGAGAGACAGAGAGAAAGGTCTTCCTTTTGCCGTTGGTTCACCCTCCAATGAGGGTGGCCGGTGTGCTGCGGCTGGCACATCGCGCTGATCCGAAGGCAGGAGCCAGGTGCTTCTCCTGGTCTCCCATGGGGTGCAGGGCCCAAGCACTTGGGCCATCCTCCACTGCACTCCCAGGCCACAGCAGAGAGCTGGCCTGGAAGAGGGGCAACCGGGACAGAATCCGGCGCCCCGACCGGGACTAGAACCTGGTGTGCCGGCGCCGCAAGGCGGAGAATTAGCCTATTGAGCCACGGCGCCAGCCAGTTATAAACTCTTGAGAGTTTTTATAAACTATGAATGGCATAAAGCTAAAAACTCTCACATTTAGGTCTTTGATCCATTTTGAGTTAATTTTTGTATATGATTTGAGGCAGGGGGGTCTGACTTGATTCTTTTGCATGTGGATATCCAATTGTCCCAGTTACATTTGTTGAAAAGACTATTCTTTCTACACTAAATTGTCTTGACACCCTTGTTGAAAATAAACTGACTGTAAATACGAGGAGTTTTATCTGGACTCTCAATTTATTAAAGATTATTTAAAATGTATTTGAAAGGCAGACAGAGATCTTCCATTCGCTGGGCCACTCCCCAAATGCCTACAGCAGCCAGGGCTGGAATAAGAACCTGGGCCTCCCATGTGGGTAGCAGAGACCAAGTACCTGACCCATCACCTGCTGCCTCCCAGGTTACACATTATGAGGAAGCCAAAATCAGAAGCAGAGTCAGGACTCAAACCCAGGCAGGCATCCCAAGTAGTGTCTGAACCTCTGCCCCAAACATTTGCCCCTGGAGTCTCAATTTTATTCCACCTGTCTTTATGCCAGTACCTCACTGTTTTGGTTGCTATAGCTTTGTAGAAAGATTTGAAATCAGGACCTATGCGTCCTCTAATTTGTTCTTCTATTTCAATTTTTTCTTAAATTTTAAAAATTTTGAAAGATTTATTTATTTGAGAGGCAAAATTACAGACACAGAGAGGTAGAGACAGAGAAAGATCTTCCATCTGTGGCTCACTCCCCAGATGGCCAAAACAGCTGGGGCTGGACCAATCCAAAGCCAGGAGCCAGGAGCTGCTTCTGGGTCTTCCAAGCACTTGGCCCATCTTCTACTGCTTTCTCAGACGATAGAGAGCTGGATCAGGCAGTCAGGACTCGAACTGGTGTCCATATCGGAAGCTGGCGCTGCATGTGGAGGCTTTACCTACTATGCCACAGTGCCGGCCCCCAAAATTATTTTTTGGGATCCTTTGCATTTCCATAGAAATTTTAGGAGCAGCTTGTCAATTTTGACTCCCCCCCCCCATACACACACACAAAAAGCTTGCTGAGACTCTGATAGGAATGGCACTGAATCCTTTGATTAATTTGAGAGGTATCGCCATCTTAACAATATTAAACCTAAACTCAGGAACAAGGAATGTGTTTTCATTTGTGTAGATTTTTAATTTCTTTCAGTGTTTCATTTGTCAGTGTAAAAATCTTACACTTCTTTTGTTCAATTTATATCACAATATTTTATTTATTTTGTTGCTAGGATAAATGAGTTATTTGATTTTTTTTTTTGAGTTGTTCCTTGCTAGTGATGGGAAATACAGTGTATTTTTGTACATTATTATTATTATTATTTTTTTGACAGGCAGAGTGGACAGTGAGAAAGAGAGACAGAGAGAAAGGTCTTCCTTTTCCATTGGTTCACACCCCAATGGCCACTGCGGCCAGTGCGCTGCGGCTGGCACACTGCGCTGATCAGGAGCCAGGAGCCAGGTGCTTCTCCTGGTCTCCCATGTGGGTACAGCCATCCTCCACTGCCCTCCCTGGCCACAGCAGAGAGCTGGACAGGAAGAGGAGCGACCGGGACAGAATCCGGTGCCCCGACCGGGATTAGAACCCGGTGTGCCAGTGCCGCAGGCAGAGGATTAGCCTAGTGAGCCGTGGCGCCGGCTTTTGTACATTATTCTTGTATTCCACAACTTGGCTGAGTTCATTTTTTTTTAATGGGTAGCAGTGATTGTATCCCTGAAGATTTTTCTATATGGTATCATGTTGTCTGTAAATATGGTTTACTTCTTCCTTTCCCAGCTGGATGCCATGGGTGGCAGGAACCCAGGTACTTGGGCCTTCTTCTGCTGGTTTTCCCAGACCCATTAGCAGGGAGCTGGATTGGAAGCAGAGCAGCCGGGAATTGAACTGGTGCTCCCATACAGGATGCCGGCCTCACAAGCCGTAAATTAACCCACACTTTTCCTTTTGTCTGCTTTCGTCCTATGGGGAATGTCCAGGGGGTCTGACTCCTAGCCTTGTCTTTTCTTCTGTCCTACCTTCCCTTACCTCCCAGGTGATGCTGGGTAGTGACTGCACTGGGGGAATGCCAAACCATTGTCACTGCTTCTGGGGCAATAGCTGGCATCAACCCTGAGTCTGTACCGCGGACTGCGGCCATGGTCCCTGGCCCAGCCAGAGCACTGAAGAAATGGGTGCAGGGCTGAGGCAGAGGCAGGCGCAGGCTGCGGCTGGGCATTCACTCTGAATTCAGCTAAGGTGACCGACACACAGCACCGCACACTGTCGCGTCCCTCGACCAGCAAGGAAGACACGACCCGAACTCTTCTTCCAGCAGTTTATTCAGGAACCTTGAACAAGCTTCTTCTTCCGCCTCCTTCCCTCTCCCATCCCTCTTATAGCCATCAGCACACCAATCAAAAGCAGCCAAGTGGCAAGCATTGATTGGTACAGCAATGCGGAAGCTGGAAGGGAGCTCAGACATCTCCTTATTAGGAGATGTTTGTTTCTCGCCAGTCCTTCCGGGGGAAAGGAGCCGGCGCCATCTTTAGGGCGCCGTGCAATGGCTCCCCACAGTTCCCCCTTTTTGTTTTAGAACCAGGCATCTAAGGATTACAGGAGAAGGTAGAGGTCTGTCCCCCACTGCCAGGCATCCACCTGGAACAGCATCCTTTTCGCGGGGGTGGGATCTGGGATGCCAACCCACATGCAGACAGACTTGCCTTCCAGAGAACGTAATGGCTCGTTCTCTCTGCAGTGCTTTGCCTCGCACCCTGCACCCATGCCTAGCATTCAAGGAAGGCCAGCCATGCTTGCGGCGATTGTCCAGCCTCAAGGGCATAAAAGGCTTGAGCTATCATGGCCAATTCCCGCCAATGAGCTGTCCTCATCCTGCACAAACACCACAGGCAAAATAACACAACAAGTAACAGCAACCCGTCAAAGCTCCAAGTCCCACCCACTCCTTCAGGTTGGAGACGGCTGTGCGGATCCAGGATGACAATCCAGATGCGAAGGAGACATCCACACGTGTGGAGTTGATGGTGACCACGGCAAGGCACAGTTGCTTCAAGGTGTAGTCAAATTCTGCGGACCAATTCTGCAAGAGCATCTGAGACAACTGTTTAGAGTAGTTTGCTGCCTGAGTCATGTTATCGTACTGAACAGAGGTCACACACAACCCTGAAAATTTCCACTCACATCCTAGCTGAGCAAGCTGCCAGAGAGTATCCACCTGCTCCTGTACCAAATCCACACGCCGATTAACAATCATCAAGCCTCCCTTTATATGTACATTTAAGGATGTCTGAGTATCCAAAGCAGCAGCCACGGAGGCCGTTAAATTATTCAGGGTATTAGCAGTTTGAACTGTCCCTGTGAGCACTATAGCAGCTGTTGTAGCGCCCACAGCTGCAATGGAAATGGCGGTTATAACGGCTGCAGTAACGATCCCAATCAGCAATGTTATAATGAAGATCAAGGGGCTGCTTTGTGACATTGTCTGTTTGCCGCACCAGTCGCTCAGGTAACCATTGAGAATATAGAAACATGTCCACGTCCCCATATTAAAACAGGGTCAGGTCCATACCATTGAGCAGTTAGAGGGTCTTTCCACTTCACATAGACTTGTTGTCTTTTGGTTTCAGGATGCCAGTGACGATCAGCTGCAGCTTTCCCTTGATTATCCAGTATTAGAAAATTTAAAATAAAAAGAGCATGTGATAGCCATTTTTGTGGGGAATATGCCATGGTCCTGTATTCCCCCTTTTTTATTTTTTGTAAATAATTTTTTAATGTGGCATGTGCTCGTTCCACAATACCTTGTCCCTGGGGATTATAAGGAATCCCGGTGATGAGAGATGTGGAAGTTAGTACAGAAGTGCTTAAAAGAGTTGGAAGTATACGCTGGGCCATTATTAGTTTTTATCTGTATAGGGGTTCCTAGAACAGCAAAGGTCTGAAGGCAATTAGAGATGTTTGGCAGCCTCGCCACATTGCGGGGTGGCAAAAACAAAACCTGAACATGTATCTAAATAAACATGTATGTATTTTAGTTTACCAAATTCAGAAAAATGGGTAACATCCATCTGCCAAAGCTGACTAGGCATAAAACCTCTAGGATTTACACCATAATAAGGGACCGGGAGAAATGTGACACAGGAAGGGCAGGATTTTACAATTTGCCTTGCCTGTTCCCGGGTGATTCCGTATCTTAATCATAAGGTTTGGACATTGAGGTGATGCAAATCATGACCATGGGATGCTTCTTAGACTTTGTCAGTCCCTCTTTAAAGGATCTGGCTTCTGAGCCAGAGACTGGAGCAGCTAGAAAGAAACACGTTTATAGCTGAAGTTTAGCATCATTTCACATCTTGGCACCACTTTTAATCTAAACAGCCCGATTGGTTATTATCTCTGCAAGATGAGAGATATATCTTTTGACATCTCCAGGGGCCCTCTGGAGAGACCAAAATTCCAGAGAATTTAGAACTTTGATTTTCAGAAAGTCTGTTAAAGGTGCCAAGAGAACTTAGAGTATCTGGTCAAAATAGAATTCCTTAACATTTAGTCAGGGCGATTTTAACACTTTTAGACCAGATCTGATCATAATAATATTTAACATAACTTTTTAAGACTTAATATTTTTATCAATCATAACTTAACAGACAGTAGTGTTAAAAAGAGATGTTACAGTTTTTGCAACAACAGATTTTAAGATTTACAATTGAGACCATTTCCAGATAATTACTAACATTAGTAAACATTTAAAAAAATCCCATTGTTATAACAGAAGATCAGACTTCAACTTTAGGTTAGTGTAATTTTGGCATTAACATTTAACTTATAGAAAACTCTGTAAACAATGTTTTAAAATCAAACTTTTTACAACTTTTCATGACTTGCTCACACCTTCTGAAACTTTATACCTGTAGTTACTTTTACAGTCTTGAATTATCATGTATGGACAACCTATGAGAATACATGCTGGCAAACTTAAAAGTCTCTCTTATCAAATTTAAGATGTTAAAAGTACACATAATATGTTTTCCATATTTTACTTAGCACCGATGCCTGGATAACTTAAAACACTGAGCTATTAATGAATACCACACCATTATCTGAATTAAAAGTCAAAATTACATTTCCATGCTTTTAAGTAACATAAGGATAACACCACTTGGGCAGCAACAGTCACTAGTGCATATTTACAACTTTGAAAAGATCTTCATCCTTAAGAGAAACAAGTTTAAAGCATATCAAAGACATGTAAATGTAAAACTGAGCAAGTAAACCAAAGGGCGTTTGCATTAACCCAATTTTCTGAACCAATCTGTATTGGCTTACTTGAGTTAACAACAGAAAGGCTTGTGTACACAGAATTTACTCTCATTTTTATAAGACTACTTTAGCTGAAAAGCAAAAACATGAATACAACATAGATTTGACATCATTTACTACATTTTAATACACTTTGTATAATTTGAATTGACTCAAACAGCTGTTACTTTAACAAATTTAGAGTCCCATCCTTTGAGAGTTCCAGGGATCCGACTGGAAGCCCCAAAGTTGAAAGACTCGGTTTAGAATTTAAACTATCAGAGAGTCAAACCATTTTAGTCAAAAATTAGTACGTTTAACCAAGGCTGTGGACTAGATCTGATCAAAGTTAGGTACTCACTCAAACATTAAAGATATAACGTAAACAGCTTCATGGTGCAGTTTTTCCAATCAAGACTCATACTGGCAATAGAAAAATGCGAAACCTTCAAGACACATGAAAATTCTCATTAGATAAGTTAGCTACAGCAGCACAGAAAAGAATTATCAGCGTATGAGCCCATTGCTTAAGTTTTTATTAACTGTAAAGAGAAAAACCCATCAAGTTGGAAAGGGTTATCAAATTAAGACTTTTCTCTAGGTCAAGATACCTGTGGAATTTTTCCTCTCTTTCTCCTGGCCTGTTGCATCTCCCTTTTTGTTTTAAAAGATATTCTTTCAGTGTGCGGTGTGCTCGCTCAATTATGCCCTGGCCCTGAGGATTGTACGGCAATCCATGGACAAGTTGAACCTCCATTTTTTGGCAAAAGGTGGTAAAGGTTTGAGATGTATATCAGTTTTTATCACCTGGGGTCTCCCCCAGGCGGCCCATGCATCCAGACAATGAGCAGTCACCTGACATTAGGGATACAATTGGGCTAGAAGGTTTAATCAGTCCTGTGGTTTCCAATATCTTTAATGCGTTCACCACATATAAGGAATCTGACAACAACTGGTAATGGCTCAGCAGCTGTAATTTTTGGAAATCCTCATTTGCCGATTCAATTCCCGTACTTGCTTTATACCAGACTCTTTGTTATCGCCACACTCTTCAGACTCACTGCTGCTTTCTGAGTTACTTTCTGCACTAGTACTACTTACTGAGGAGGGGCTGTGCAACTCGGAAAGATCGGGGTACAGTTTTTTCCTAGTTCTTTTCTGACTCTCCTTCAAAGTTTTCCCTTTTTCACTGGCAGCTCTCTCGGAGCGCTCTTCCTGAAGCTCCTCCAAGGCAGCTTGACCGCTCAGAATAGTTTCACTACACTGCTCATCCTCGAGGCATGCTCGCACTAACTTCCATATTGGTCTCACTCCCCTTTCGAGATTACCCTGTTCAAATGCAAAATCCAAATCCCTGCCTAGTTTGTCCCATGAAGGGATAGTAAGGCTTCCCGAAACCCCATACCAGGGTGCAATGGTATCGCAGTTACGTAAAAACCTATGCAATGTACTAGGCTTAAGTTTCAAACCGTTTTCTCAAAGCAGCGCATTCAGCGCCAGAAAAATTGTCAAAAATTGTACTCTTTCCCTGGCCACGGGTCAGAGCTCCTTCTGCTTTTGTCACAGAACTTCCTCTGCTTTAATCGCAGAGCTATCCTCCCGCTATTGTCGCAGGACTATCCTCCCGCTATTGTCGCAGGACTTCCCGCTCTTATCGCGGATCCCCACCTTATTTTCCTGGGGGACTTACCAGCGCTGCCCTGACTGCAGGAAGTTCTGAGTTCGCGTTTGAGATGGTTCCCCGTACGGGCCACCAGTTGTCGCGTCCCTCGACCAGCAAGGAAGACACGACCCGAACTCTTCTTCCAGCAGTTTATTCAGGAACCTTGAACAAGCTTCTTCTTCCGCCTCCTTCCCTCTCCCATCCCTCTTATAGCCATCAGCACACCAATCAAAAGCAGCCAAGTGGCAAGCATTGATTGGTACAGCAATGCGGAAGCTGGAAGGGAGCTCAGACATCTCCTTATTAGGAGATGTTTGTTTCTCGCCAGTCCTTCCGGGGGAAAGGAGCCGGCGCCATCTTTAGGGCGCCGTGCAATGGCTCCCCACAGCACACACGAACCCCGAGCCTGCCTGCCCTACAGTGCCTCCCCGGCCGGGGCCCCCTCCCACCTACTCCTTCCACCCGGCAGCCTCCAGCCAGGATGGCGTTCGCTTTCTTCTCATTCCTGCATGGCCTTGGGGCCTTTGCCCTTGCTCTGGACTTGGGGTGGAACCCAGTGACCTCGTTTTGCCCAGGCTGCTCCTTCTCTCCTGTCAAACCTCAGGTCAGATATCGCCATGTTAGGTTAGATGATCACAAATTGTAGGAGCTAAAAACCGGCTCCATTTCTCCTAGCCCTGTGGGTCCCAAGTCCCGCAGGCTTGGCTGAGTAGGCTCTTTAGCCTGGGCTCGTATCTGGAGTTCACATGCAGGCTCACCCAGGTTATCAGCAGAATTCAGCTGGGTTTGGCCAGAGCGGCCGGGGTTTCTCTCTCTCTCTCTCTCTCTCTCTCTCTCTCTCTCTCTCTTTCTCTTTCTCTTTCTCTTTCTCTTTCTCTTTCTCTTTCCTTCCTTCAATTTGTTTATTTGTTTGAAAGACAGAGTTACAGAAAAGCAGAGGCAGAGAGAGAGAATCTTCCATCCATTGATTCACTTCCCAAATGGCTGCAATGACCGGAGCTGCGCCAATCCGAAGCCAGAAGCAGGAGCTTCTTCCAGGTCTCCCACACAGGTGCAGGGGCCTAAGCACTTGGGCCATATTCCACTGCTTTCCCAGGCCACAGCAGAGAGCTGGATCAGAAGTGGAGCAGCCGGGACTTGAACCAGCGCCCATATGGGATGCTGGCACTGCAGGCGGCTTTACCTGCTACGCCATAACACCAGCGCCAAGGTCGCTTTCTTTGCTTGCCATGGGCCACCTCCACTCCTTTGCTGGGGTTCCTGACGTCACAGCCGGCAGCGCCATCAAGCCCTTGCCCTACTCCACTTTTCTCTGCCTTCCCATTCTGCCTGTGTTGCCTGTTGCTGGCTGGAGAAACCTCTGGTTTCGTTTTGCTTTTGAAAGATTATTTATTTATTTGTTTGTTTATTTGAAAGGAAGAGTGACAGGGCCGGCGCTGTGGTGTAGTAGGCTAGGCCTCTGCCTGTGGTGCCAGCATTCCATATGGGTGCCAGTTCATGTCCCCGCAGCTGCTCCTCTTCCAATCCAGCTCTCTGCCTATGGAAGTGGAAGATGGATCAAATGCTTGGGGCCCTGCACCCACGGAGGAGACCTGGAAGAAGCTCCTGGCTCCTGCCTTCAGATCAGCCCAGCTCCAGCAGTTGCGGCCATTTGGGGAGTGAACCAGTGGAAGGAAGACCTTTCTCTCTGTCTCTCCCTCTCTTTCTGTAACTACCTCTCAAATAAATAAAATCTTACAAGAGAGGAAGGGAGGGAGGGAGAGAGAGAAAATATCTTCCAAATGTCCACAACAGCTGGGGTTGCACCAGACCGAAGCCAGGAGCCTGGAACTCCATCCGGGTCTCCCACATGGGTGCAGAGGCCATCCTCTACTGCTCTCTCAGGCACATTAGCAGGGAGCTGGGTAGGAAGTGGAGCAGCCGGGACTCGAACCGGTGTCCATGTGGGATGCCGTTGTCAGTGTTGCAGATGGTGGCTTAACTAGCTGTGCCATAATGCTGGTCCCCAAATATGCATCTTTTTATTGGTTTTGGCAGGGGGAGAGAGAGAGAGAGACCTCCAGCCAGTCTACTTGTTCACTCCTCACATGCCTAAATGTCTGGGATTGGGCTGGGCTGGGCTGGGCATGGCAGAAGCTGGAAGCTGAGAACTCTGTCCAGGTCTCCCTTGTGGGTGGCAGAGACCCAAGTTCTTGAGCCATCATCACTGCTTCCCAGGAGTCAGGAGCCAGAGCTGGGCAGTGAACAACCTAGGCACTCCAATACGGGATGCGGGTATCTTAAACACCAGGCTCGTGTTGGCTTTCAATTCCATTTTCCACAAACTTTGTGAAGTCTCTTGTACGATGGCAAAAGGGACTTTGAGAATGTGATTAAGGTAAGGAGGAGCTGAGGATGGGGAAGAGATCCCTGCCTTATCCAGATGGGCCCAGTGTGATCACAGGGGTCCTTGGAAGAGAGAGACTGGAGAAATAAGAATCAGAGAGGGTTGGGGCCGGCGCTGTGGCGTAGCAGGTAAAGCCGCCACCTGCAGTGCCGGCATCCCATATGGGATGGCTCCACTTCCAATCCAGCTCTCCGCTATGGCCTGGGAAAGCAGTAGAAGATGGCCCAAAGCCTTGGGCTCCTGCATCCGCATGGGAGACCCAGAAGAAGCTCCTAGATCCTGACTTCGGATTGGCTCAGCTCCAGCCGTTGCAGCCAACTGGGGAATGAACCAGTGGATGGAAGATCTCTCTCTCTCTCTCTCTCTCTCTCATCTCTCTATCTCTCTCTCTCTATCTCTTTCTCTCTCCTCCTCTCTCTAACTCTAACTTTCAAATAAATGAATATTTTTTTTTGACAGGCAGAGTGGACAGGGAGAGAGAGACAGAGACAGAGAGAAAGGTCTTCCTTTGCCGTTGGTTCACCCTCCAATGGCTGCCGCGGACGGCGAATCGTGCTTATCCGAAGGCAGGAGCCAGGTGCTTCTCCTGGTCTCCCATGTGGGTGCAGGGCCCAAGGACTTAGGCCATCCTCCACTGCACTCCCGGGCCACAGCAGAGAGCTGGACTGGAAGAGGGGCAACAGGGACAGAATCCGGCGCCCCGACCGGGACTAGAACCCGGGGTGCCGGTGCCGCAGGCAGAGGATTAGCCTATTGAGCCGTGGCGCCGGCCTCAAATAAATAATCTTTTTAAAAAAAGAGTCAGAGAGGGCAGCTGACGATGGCCTCAGAGACTGGATGGATGCGATTTCCAACGGAGGATGGGGCCAGCAGCCAAGCAACACAGGCAGCCAGCAGGTGCTGGAAAAAGCAAGGAGACAGATTCCCCATCAGAGCCCCCAGTAGGGACCAGCCTGCCGACACCCTAACTTCAGCTCTGTGAAACTGATTTTGGACTTCTGGCCTCTAAGACTATAAGAGGACAAATGCGTGTTGTTTTAAGCCACTAGATGTGTGATCATTGTCACGTCATTGTAGGGAACTAATACAGCTGTGAAGAATTCACATCCAGTGGTATCCGTTCTCTCCTCTTCCAGAGAAGAACTTTTCTTTTAAAGATTTTTTTTTCTTATTTGAAAGCAGAGTAGAAAGAGAGAGAGAGAGCACTTTCATCCACTGCTTCACTTCCCAGATAGCCTCCATGGCATGGTCCCAGCTGGGCCAGGCTGAAGCCAGGAATTGAGAACTCCATCTGGGTGCCCGCAATCCTTGGGCCATCTTCTGAAGCCCTCCCAGGTGCATCAGCAGGGAACCAAATCAAAAGTGGAGCCAGGACTCGAACCAGAACTCACATGGGATGCCGGCATGGCAGGCAGTACCTTAACCCACTGCAGCCACAATACCAGTAAAACCCTCAGGATTAAGCTATGTTTCTGGAGGCAGGTGTGGTGGCATAGCAGGTGCAGCTGTCACTTGGAACAACTGCAGCCCATACCTGAGTGCCTGGGACCAGTCCTGCCTCTGCTCCTGCTTCCAGTCCAGCTTCCTGCTCATGTGCCTACTGGGCAGCAGAATGATGGCACAGGTATTGAGTCTTGCCACCTATATGGGAGACCCGGGCAGAGTTCCTGGCTCCTGCCTTCAGCCTGGCCCAGCCTTGACTATTGCTGGGATTTGGGGAGTGAACCAGTGGATGGAAGATCGATCGATCGATCTATCTATCTATCTATCTATCTATCTATCTCCCTCACTGTTGCTGTGCCTTCCAAATAAATAAAAATGAATAAACTTTTAAAAAATATTCTATTCTCAGCAACCCTTTCAGCTGGCTGTGGCCATGTGACTAAATTCTTCCTACCAGGCTGAAAGCAGAAAGGATGTATACTTCTGAGTCATGTCATTTAGGAGAAAGGGCATCTCTTCTTTTTCCTATCTTTGGAAGACCCAGGCTGAGGCCGGCATTGAGGCAAAGTGGGTAGATGGCGCTGGCACCCCATATGGGTCCCAGTTCAAGTCCAGGCTGCTCCACTTCTGATTCCAGCATATATATATATATATACACACACACACACATATACATATATATGTATATATATATTCAATTTATTTGAAATGCAGAATTACAGAGAGAGACAGAGATCTTCCACCCACTGGCTCACTCCCCAAATGGCCACAATAGCTGGAGCTGGGCCCATTCGAATCCAAGAGCCAGGAGCTTCTTCAGGGTCTCCCACAGGGAGACATGCACTTGGCCATGTTCAGCTTTTCCAAGACCATTAGTAGGGAACTGGTCCGGAAGTGGAGTAGCCAGGACTCGAACCGGCATTCATATGGGATGCTGGTGTTACAGGTGGTGGCTTAACCCACCACATCACAATGCTGCCCCCTGCCATGAGTTTTTAAGCAGAAATGGAAGAGACTATAGAAACTCCAGGCAAGCGAGCCATACTTTTTCACCAGTAAAAGATCCTACCGAGAAGGCCCTTGAGCAACAAAGTTAAATTAAAACTCATCCTGTGGCAAGGGCCTTATTAAGTGTGGCTGTTATGCGTGTTGTAAAAACCTCGCAACTGATCACCGGAGTTCCCAGTACATTTCTTTCCATTAGTCAAGATGATTCAGAGGGAGGACATTAGGAGTGGAGCTCTCCCAAGAGAGAGGGCTGCCATTGAGTCTGAAGAGAGGCATGAGAGGCAGGACTGGAAAGAACTGGAGGGGGGTCGCTGTGGCACAACAGGGTAAAGCCACAGCCTGTGGCGCCAGCATCCCATGTGGGCGCCGGTTCGAGTCCTGGCTGCTCCACTTCCGATCCAGCTCTCAGCTATGGCCTGGCAAAGCACTGGAAGAATTTCCAAGTGCTTGGGCCCCTGCACACACGTGGGAGACCCGGAAGAAGCTCCTGGCTCCTGGCTTCAGATTGGCTCAGCTTCAGATTGGCTCAGCTCCAGCCACTGCGACCATTTGGGGAGTGAACCAGCGGATGGAAGACCTCTCTCTCCCTCTCTGCTTCTCCTTCTCTGTGTGTAACTCTGACTTATAACATATATATACATATATGGATGCAGCTATCGGCCCTTGGAACTGAGTGGAATCAAATAGACAAACCAAATATCAAAGAAATTGTACTGCTCCTCCCTCACATTCCCCCTACGCCCAGCCAAAGCCACCAGCTCTTGAGTGTTCAAACCTTGGGTCCTCAAATGGCTATAGGCATGAAGGAGACAGAGAAAGCGACTCCACTTCACAAAGTCATAGCCTCCAATGGCCCCTCAAATGTGGCCAAGGAGACCAAACGGAAAAGGATGGTCCAGTCTCAGGGCAGGGCAGGGCCACGGGGACAAATGAACCAGGGGATTCTTCCCTGGGGGTGGGTCAGTTCTCAGGGAGCGCTGGGGGTCCTGTCCAACATCTTCCCGGCAGGATGTCTCAGGTGCTGGGGACCAGGGTCAGACTTTAGGTGCTTGAGATGCCCACAGCCCATGTCGGAGTGCTGGCATCAAGTTCTACCTCTGCTTCCAATCCAGCTCTGGTTCATGTGCACCCCAGGAGGCAGCAGACGATGGCCCAAGTTTTTGAGCCCCCCACCCCGGGCTCCTGGCCTTGGTCTGGCCCAGCCATTGCTGTTGTAGGCATTTGGGGAATAATTCAGAGGATGGAAGAGAGCTCTCTCTCTCCCTTCCTTCCTCCCTCCCTCCCTCCCTCCCTCCCTCCCTCCCTTTCACATAAAATGAAGATAAGTTTAAAAAAAATTTTTTTAATATTTAATTTATTCATTTGAGAAGCAGAGCTACTGAGAGAGAAAGAGGGAGAGAGAGAGAGAAAGGCCTGTCTTCTGGTTCACTCCCCAAGTAGCCACAATGGCTGCAGCTGGACCAATCTTAAGCCAGGAGCCAGGAGCTTCCTCCAGGTCTCCCACGTGGGTGTAGGGGCTCAAGGACTTGGGCCATCCTCCACTGCTTTCCCAGGCCACAGCAGAGAGCTGGATCAGAAGAGGAGCAGGAGCTAATGCTTTTGGTGCAGCAGGTTAAATCCCGGCCTACACTGCTAGCAATCCATATGCCAGCTCAGCTCTGGCATTGTGGGCATTTGGATAGTGAACCAGCAGATGCAAGATCTCTCTCTTTCTCATAGGAACTTGTCAAATGTACCCGACAGCAGTGAAAGAAAGCTACTGATATTCTCTTTCCCTGATTATTTGCCAAAAGTCCCCATGCCCATGACTGCTCATTATTATTTTCATAGCTGTTTCCAGCTGCGGTTTAACCACTCCACAGTGAGTCACCATCTCTCCAACTCCAGGGAGAGCCTTCTGGCCAGCTCAAGGCCATTGCCGCACAGTGCAGGCTTTCCTTTTCCTTTTATTTTTTTTAATATTTATTTATTTTACTTGAAAATCAGAGTTACAAAGAGAGAGGAGAGGCAGAGAGAGTGAGAGAGAGAGAGAGCGCGCGGTCTTCCATCCACTGGTTCACTCCCCAATTGGCCACAACGGCCAAAGCTGTGCCGATCCAAAGCCAGGAGCCAGGAGCTTCTTCCTGGTCTCCTACATGGCTGCAGGGGCCCAAGGACTTGGGCCATCCTCTGCTGCTTTCCTAGGCCATAGCAGAGAGCTAGATTGGAAGCGGAGCAGCTGGGACTCGAACTGGCGCCCTTATGGGATGCTGGCACTGCACGAGGCGGCCTTACCTGCTATGCCACAGCACCAGCCCCCTCCCCCCTTTTTAAGTTGTAGCAGCCCTCTACATCTGCGTACTAATTCTGCAGCAGTTTGCTAAAAGTAATTACGACTGTAACAACCTCCGCGTATCAGTAAGTCAGGACACGCCAGGGCCCTTCCCAGGTGGGCTGCAACCCAGCTTCCTGCCGTTTTTCCTCCCAGGTTCCAGGCTGAGAGAGAAGCCGAGATCTGGAAACTGCCAGGAGGCTCACGACACAGGGATAGGGGAAGGGAAGCTGCCAGACCTCTGCGTGGGGGTGCGAGCTTCCGTTTGGAAGTGAGAACTTTGCTCGGCTCCCCACATTCCATCGGCCAAAGCCAAGTCCACCAGCCAAGCTTCCTGCACGCTCCGGGCGTGAAGTGGAAGTGTAATCCTCCCGTTTGCGGGGGTGGGGGACGGGTAAGAGGACAAGAAGTATCTGGAACCTTCCTAGCATCACCACAGGGCGTAGCAGAGCTGTCAGCCACACAGCTCTTCTCCTTCGCCCTGTGCACACCCCCTTCGCCTCGCCGTCCTGTCCCCTGTCCGCCACACACCTCAGCCAAGTCTGAGTCAAAAAGGGCACCCAATTCATCCCCAGGCAGAACACTGTAGCCTGAACTGACAAGCAGACTAGACCGATTCCTTTGCTGGGGAATCGGAGCCGTGAAATACTGACAGCTGCAGGGTGTGGTGCAAGGTGGACTTGGAAAAGTCCCATCTAACCCAGCCTGCTCCTTGAGTTAGGCTGTGGGCCGCCCGCCCAGCCACGATTCAGTGCTCAGCCTACCCGCACGGAGGTCAGTGTTCCACGGGAAGGGGTGGCGGCCACAGGGGAGCCTCTGAAATCTCCCGTGTGCATTCCGCTTGTCAACCTGCCTGCCATTTCTGTCCCAAACTTGTGACACCTGTTCAGAACCCTCCCCCGGGTCCCCAGAGCGCACAGTGAAAGTTCAAACTACTGAGCACCTGGCCTTGCAGCCACCTTTATCCGGCAAGTTCTGGGTGACCTGGGAGGTGGCACTGTCCAGCATGGCCAGGAAGGTACAGGTAGCACAGGGACACTCGGCTGCCACGCACGTGGTGTAGTGGCTGTCCAAGCTTTCTATGGGATCCCGGGAGCAGGTGCCGCGCGTCTCGCGGTTTTACTTTGAAGGCAGAGAGCTGAGAGGGTGGACAGAAGCGGACCACAGGACAGGATCCCGCTGCAGACGCATCCGCAGGACAGAGAAGCCCAGAGGCCCCCCAGGCTCCGCCCACACCACCTCCCAGGCTCTTAACTCCGGGTAGGGCGGTCCCTCTCCCAAAACCAATCCCTACAGGCCAATCCCGAGCTCCTCCAAGACATTCACGCCCGCCGACCAATTCCAGCTCCAACCAAGCCCCGCCTCAGCCACGCCCCACTCACCGCCGGCGGAGCCGCCCCAATCTTGGGTCTGCAGCCAGCGCCGTGCACCGCCACACCCGGCCGCCGGGGGACGCTGCTGGCGGCACCCCAGTCGCGGACCCGAGGCGGAGCGGGCAGGGCTCTGCCAGTCCCGGGCCGCCCATGGGTGGATCCCGCCCCTCCCCAGCCCAGGTCCTGGGCGGTCCAGGAGTGCACAGCGGACACCACCAGCCCTGCCGCCAGGTGGCAGGAGCAGCAGCGGGCAATGTGGTGAAAGGAAAGGGCCTGGGCGGCTCCACTGCAGCCAGACAGGGGCCAGGAGTGGGCTTAGCCCTGAAACCAGGTGGAGCCAATCCCATCCAGAAATTAGGCATCACAACTAGGAGCCCTTGGAAACTCAGCCTTAAAGAGACGGGAGCTCGGGGTCAGCGCTGTGGCATAGCGGGTTAAAGCCCCTGTTTGCAGTGCCGGCATCCCACATGGGCACTGGTTCGAGTCCCGGCTGCTCCACTTCTGATCCAGCTCTTTGCTATGGCCTGGGAAAGTAAAAAAAAGATGGCCCAAGATCTTGGGCCCTTACACCCGCGTGGGAGACCCGGAAGAAGCTCCTGGCTCCTGGCTTCGGATCTGCGCAGCTCTGGCCGTTGCAGCCAATTAGAGAGTGAACCAGCGGATGGAAAACTCTCTCTGCCTCTCCTCTCTCTGTGTAACTCGGCCTTTCAAATAAATAAATAAATCTTAAAAAAAAAAAAAAAATACAAGGAAACCAGGGCTCAGGTGCCTCTGCCTCTACCTGCCGCCTCCAGGTGCGCTGACCCGGGCTCACCGGCTCTGTTAGCTGAACTCTTCCATAAACAGCAGTGATTTCTTCTGATCACGAGACCTGGGGCTGGGGCCTCTGCCTGCCAGCCCCTTCCCTTCCTTCTTTAAATACCTGGCTCCTCCTCATGGCTTCAGGGCTAGGTGTTCAGCGGTCCTTTCCCAGGGAAAAAGCAGGAGTACCTCGCTGTGGGCACGGCACCTAGGGCAGCCTGACCTGGGCCTGTCTGGGCCTGGCCTGGCCCCAGGGGTGGCCAGCAGGTGGGGAGAGGCTGGGCCAGCTCGCCAGCAACAAGGGTCTCCAATCCAAGCTCGCTCGCTCGTTTTTCTCTCTTTTTAATTTTTTACAAAACCATGTGTCCCAGTCAAACAGGACAAGGCAGACCCTCCCTTGCCCAGGCACTGTAGCTCGAAGGGGAGGGGGGGGCCCACGGACGAGCAGCTGCTGGCCCAAGAAGAACCGCCTGCCACCGCTGTACAGGGGCCCGAGGGCGCCGGGTGGAGTGGGGGTCCTCACTGGGGGCTCTGTGCTGCAGGGAGACAAGGCCAGGACCTGGGTCCCTGGAGCTTCCGGTGCCTGCAAGGGAAGGAGGGGGAGGAGGGTCTGAGGGGAGGAGGGAAGGCTGGGGAGGGGGCGGGGCGGGGGCGGGGCCAGGCGGTCTCACCGAAAATGTACAACTCTAGCCCACCGCTATGGTCACGCCGATGATGACGGCCAGGATGAGGACCGTGACGGACACACAGATGGCAATGAGGACTTTCTTCTGTGGGAGACAAGAGGGTCAGGGACGACCGTGTGGGGCGCCTGCGCCCGGGGCGGGGCGGGGGGCTCACCTTCCTTGCTTTCTTCTGGTTCTCCAGGGCGATCTTGACGTGCTCCTGCCCGCGTTCCACGTAGTCCGCGGAGCTCAGGATGTTCTTCTCGATCCGGTTGATCATCTCCCCCTGCTCGCGGGACGAGGTGGCTCAGAGAGGGAGCGATGCCTGGGCACGGCGGGGCTGGGGACGGGGAGGCCAGCTGCGCCTTTGCCCACGCCACCCGGCAATGACTGACGCATCTCCCAGGCCCACGGAAACAAAACAAAAACTGCCCCCAACAGAGGCAGCTCCAGAAGTGACCCAGGCTCAGAATCTTGGGATGGTTCCGGGACCCCTTCTATCACGTGGGCCTATCTCCCCGCTTCCCTTGCCCCCATAAGGTGACATCCGAACGCCTGCAGAAGGCAAATTAAGAGCTTGTTTTCGGGGATCCAGTGCTGTGGTGTAGCGGGTCAACGCCCTGGCCTGAAGCTCTGGCATCCCATATGGGCACCGGATCCAAGTCCCGGCTGCTCCACTTCCAATCCAGCTCTCTGCTGTGGCCTGGGAAAGCAGAAGAGGCTCAAGTGCTTGGGACCCTGCACCTGCGTGGGAGACCTGGAAGAAGCTCCTGGCTCCTAGCTCCGGATCAGCTCTGCTCCAGCCGTTGTGGCCATTTGGGGAGTGAACCAGCATATGGAAGACCTCTCTCTCTCTCTCCCTCTCTCTGTCTTTGCCTCGCAAATAAATAAATAAATCTCTCTTTTTTTTTTTTTTAAAGAAAATAAGAGTTTATTTTGGTGCCCCAAATTTGGCATCCAAGCACAGATTTCTCCTAACGTGCATTGGCCAGTCACTTTTTGAAGATCCCTCCTATACATGATTTCAAGATTTTTTTTTTTGCACCCCAGAGAAACTTTCTCAATTCCATTTTCCATGCCTTCTTGCAAGCACCCCCCGTATGTGCAGGGGCGGCTTGTGGCC